ATCTCTTCCATTTTGCTGTTCCTGAGATGTTTCCTTTATAATAAACATGTAAATATAAGCAAATTGTTTTTCTCAGTTCTATGACCCATGCTAGCAAATAAGCCTGAAGAGAGTGACAGGGACCTTTGATTTATGGCCCTTCAGAAGCATAGGTGACAAGCTAGACTGGCCATTGTCATGACATATCCACGTCAGCAGTCTTGCTAGCCTGAACTCAGGATGTGATGCTATCTCTAGGGAGACAGTATCAGAGTTAAATGGAATCTTGTCACAGCAGTTTGTGTCCCATATGGTGACATATGCTTGGCGAAGTCTTCTTTCTGTAAGGGTTCAACACATGATTGCTGGGACCAGGATCCAGAAATCTTGCGTTAGACATGAAATAATTGAGAGTAGGGGAAGTATAGAGAAAAGCAGGTTTTGTGTTCTCCTCTCTACTCATGAAATGATGTCCCCTGTGTTTTTTATGTATTTGGCTAATCTCTTTATACTTACTGCTTATTCCACAAACTTTAACCTGAGCAAGACTTGAATAAGGGTGCCACACTGTGGAGCTGGAAACTGAGTCTGAGGCTTTGAGTGGAGAATCGAGGGATGATATGGACATGATAGGTCTGTTTCAGCAAGACTCTTGGCAGATTCTAGCATGATGCCATTACACAAGTGTCCTTCTCTGGGCTCACTTCATGGCCAGCTAACATTCTGGGACCTTGTGAAAGCATGGAGATCCTGTGAGACATAGATCTCAGCCTTTGTTCAGTTTCTCAGGAATTGAGGTGGATGTATAGAAGGCAGCATGCGAAGTTGAGTTATTTACTGATCACAACACAAGGATTTTACATGGTCTCTACACACTTGAAATACAGGTCTGAAGACTAATCATAAAGACTTTGTATTTATATTGAAAACCTTAGCCAGTGATCTAGTTCCAGCTGAAGGCTGGCAAGCTGTGATAGAACCAAGAGGAGCTGATATCCTGGTGTGAGGTCCCTGGGGCAGAAGAGTTCTGCCTTGGGGAGGGCGAGTTTTTCACTCCATTCACTCTTTTAACCAATGGATGAGCCCACCCCTAGAGAATGCAATCCTCTTTAATCAGTCTACTGATTTCAATGTTAATCTCTTCTAAAAACTTCTCAGATAGTAACAATGCCCAGGATAATGTTTGATTAAATACATCTGAGCCACCCAAGGGTCAATCAAATTGTTGCCTAAAATCAACCATCACAGTGTTATTTGTTAGACTGTATCTGGGAACCCTGCATTGTGTCCAAACACTGTGCTTTGCAGACTATGCTGCCGCAGATCAGACCACCAAGGTATCTAGGGAAGAGGTGGAAAAGTTGAGAATGTTACCCTAAAGGGTGAGCACGTGATATAGGCCCAATGACACCTTCAGATATCTGAAGAATTGTCTCATGGGAGAAAGTGAAAGGAATTCTTTGGTCTGGTAGGCATGATTCATACTAGTGAGTAGAAAATGAATCTTATGACTGGAAAGAAGTCTGTCTTGGCATCTCATAAGGTCTGTCTGTAAGGGTTCAACAGATGCCTGTTGCCACCAGGAATCAGAAGTCACGTGTTCTGGTCGTGTTCCGGTGCTCTCCATCCTTGAATAGGCCATTCATCTCTCAGATTTCTTCCTTTCTGCTGAGAAATTATAGTAGTCTGCCTCACAGGTCCTGAGGACCAAGTGGAAATAACGTCTGAATAATACCCTCTAAAACTCTGTGGAGTGGAGGTGGGGGAGACCTTGGCAGACCAGGCGAGCTGAGTGCTGACTCACCCCTCACCCAAGCAGGAAGTTTCCACTGACCTGCAGTCAGGGACACCTCACTGCCTGCCGCTGGCAGCTTCATATTCTTATTGGAATAAGCCCGAGGAGTGGTGGTAATTCTGTTTTCAAATTCCTCATCCCTGAGTGTATGAAACTTAGTCGTGCTGGCCAGGAGAAGACTCACTCTGCAGGGTTAGTGGTTCATGAAAGGATGAGCCAGCTAGAGTTGAGCAGGAGTTGTTCCTTCTTGAACAGTCAGCCTCATCATGGTATCGGTTTTTAATTCCAGGAATATTCTAGAGTTGTTTCTGATTTATTGTCTTGTTTACACTGTCTACTTTCTTGCCTCAAGAGTATACCAGTATTACATATTCCTGGAAAAAAATGTGCTTTTTGTATAATGTACTTAAAACCCAGATTTACATTTTATGGCTGTGCCATGAAAAAGGACACCAGCACCAGAGATCCTTGCCAACGAAGCCAGCACTGTCCTGGTGGGGGCACAAAGTCCTCTGCACTATTGTGGGTTTTTTCCTCTTCAGTGACAGACTTAATAAAAGTCCCTGTTTCGTACAGATGCTTTTCAGTGAAAAGCAACCAGGCTCAGGTCAGAAGAGCAGATGAACGTTGTCTGAGGTTCAGTGCTGGTGAACAGCTGCACTTCAGAGGAGTTACACAGAGGTGGGCACGGTTAGTTTTATGTGGGAAGATGGCTTGTAGGCTTTCTCAAGGGCAGGTGACATCAAAGCTAAGCCTTCCAATCTGGGCTTGCTTATAACTGACATCAGGGCCTCAGGGCAATTTCTCATGACATTAGAAATTGTCATTGCCGCATTTCATAGCACTGTGCAGTCCTGAAGATATAGTAGTTTTGGAGTAAATTGTAACTATTGTCAGATAGTTTATATACAGCTGGTTCTGAGCTGCCCAAGCTAATCCAATTCAGAAAGGCTTTCTTCTCCTTTTTAAAGTTCTATCCAGCCTGACTGCTTTTTGGACATTCAGTCTTGAAATCAAAGGGGATATTTGAGTAATAATAGTTGGTCAATTCAAGGATCATCTTTTCTGCTAAGGCCTCCTTAGAATGAGCTGCCAAAACACAGAGCAAGATATCTTCCTCTGCATGGTTGGCATTTTGAAAAATTCTTGTGTGTATGTGTGTGGGGCTGTCCTGGGTATTGTAGGATGCTAATAGCATCTCATTCCATTTATGATAATCTTAAGAATATTTCTTGACAGACTTCACCAAATGTCTTCTGAAGGACAAGAGTACCTTTTGTTTATCCATTTATGCTGAAGATAAAAACTTTTGCATGAAATTCATAATCTAGAAACATAAGTGACATAATCTAGAAGGATCTTTCTAGGTAATATAACATAGAAAAATCTTTATAGGTAATATAACCTAGAAAAATTCTAGGGAAAAGAATTTGAAGAGGACGTATTTCATCATATGCCATTGTTATGGGCGTTCCAAAAATGGATCACTAGGGGCTTAAGGGTTAAGAACCACTGCTGTAAAGGCAGCTCAGATGCCCCACACTGGGCCTGGGCTACAGCAGCACCTTTCACATTGTGGATCACTTCATATTCATTAAAAGAAGCATTCTCAAATAGGGGTGATCTTGGGAATCAGCCGGGAGCTTTAAAAAGTCCTGATGCCTGAGCCTCACCCTGAGACTCTCACTGGTCTGGGACGTGCCCTGGGCAGGAGAATGTTGAGAAGCTCTTCAGGTGATTTCACCTCTCAACTATTAGTTTTATCATGGGGTCAAATCAGTGAAGCAGTCATTGACCAGCATTTTAAGAAATACATGTGAATGTATAATTGGATTAAGTACTGCATTCATTCTTGGCGTAATACCTAGGGAAGTACTGTTTTGTACACATGGTAAGGTTGGGAATGCTGCTATAAGTGATAGAACCATTAGCAAAATCTCTTCCCTCAGCTTGCTATTTCAGTCTGGCTATTTATAACCCCACTAGAAATGACTTGCTTTTGTTAAGAATAAATAATGTGAAATTTAATGTAAGACCATTATAGTTGTGTAACTATTAACCTTTTGCCCACATTTTGTGTTTTCAACTTGACATTGTTAAAGTCAGTTATTTTATAAATACCAATTAGTGGTGTGAATGCTTCCACGTGCCGTGAAGTTTGATTATAGTCCAGTCATGAGATGATTTTTCTCTTTTGTACATGCTGTTTATACACCATGTCAGCACTGCTACAAATACATGTAGCACTAATATCATATGTGTACATTGTCCCCCAGGTTCTCTTAGAGTCAGCTAAACAGTCTTTTCATTATCTATGAAAATTTGGGAGTCTTACAAAATAAGCTATTATACACAGTCACCTCACTGCTATCAAACCATGATGGGAGATGGGCAACCTTGAGCCATTCTGTTTCTCTCAGTGTTCAGCAGAACTTGGAAGGACTCTTGCTGGGTCTCTGTTTTGGCGACTTTGTCAGCAGATGCTACAGTATAGAAGATCACTTGCCCTGATGTTGAAGCCCATTCCAAGCCCGTGAGAACACCCACCAGGGCTTTCCAGTTGACTTACAGTACAACCTTTGGTACCCATGGAAGATCGGTTCCAAGACCGTTCTCCAGTACCAAAACCCATAGATGCTCAAGGCCTTTATATAAAATGGCATAGGATTTGTGTATCAAACTACACATACCTCCCTGTAACTCAAAATTATCTCCTGATTTCTTATAATGCCCAATTCAGTGTAAATGCTACGTAAATAGTTATACTGTTAATAGTTATATTATATTGTTCAGGAAATAATGATAGGAAAATAAAAGTCTATACATTTTTAGTATAGATATAAAGTTTTCCCCAAATGCGTTCAGTCTGTAGTTGATTAAGCCCATAGATGCAGAACTGGAGGGATGTTAGGATTTAAAAGGTTGGCCTTTAATATAGACGTATTAGAAAATAGCTGTGATAATTCTGATTACTCACAATGCATAATTCAGTCTCCTATCACAAAGTTCTTTCAGAGTTTGAAGGGACTTGTGCCATTATCTGAGAGAAGTAAGCTTGGGATTGTTTCTTGAATCAGTTTCTGAAAAAACTGGTCTACCTGTGTAACAGCAGAAAGAGATGCACTGGATATTGATGGATACTCACGAATGATCTGATATGAACTTTCTCTGTGCTTCAGCACTAGATGTCTGGAGCCATGCTAACTGTGTGTTCTGTTTCCTCTAGGTGTCTGAGGGTTCCGTGGTCCAGTTTTCATCAGGAAACTTCTCCTTGACAGCAAAAACAGAAGAAAGGAATTTCCCCCATGGAAATGATCATCTGCTCAATTGGGCCCAAAAGGAGTATGGAGCGGTTACTTCATTCACTGAGCTCAAGATAGCAAGAAACATTTATATTAAAGTGGGGGAAGGTAAATTTTACGTGGCTTCAGTTAATAACTGGTTGGTGACAGAATTTTCTGGAACCAGGTGATTAGGACAAAGAATCACAGGGTTCCAGAATATTGTATTGGGCAGGGACAAGAGAGCTGGTTTGGGCTTGTTGTGTCTCTTGCCTCCCTTTCTTTATTTTCTTTATTTATTTTTGAATTTTTAGTACAGGGTTTACAGGGTCTCATTACACAGATCGGACTCAGTGATTCTCCTGTTTTCAGCCTCCCAGGCGCTGGGATTACAGGCATATGTGTCACCACACCCAGTGTCTTTAGCTGTCTGAGCATGCCCTGGGGGCGGGGCCAGCCCAGCAGGAAGGGGATGGAACCCAGGTTCCTGCGTCTACCTGAGCAAGCACTTTAATCCGCTGAGCTATCTGGCTGGCCCTGATCTTTATTTTTTCTTTCTTGGGAGTTTGACCTGGTAATGACTGAGTGAAAAATGGGAATTAGTGCAGTTGACAGAGAGTGGGAGATATTGTGTAGGATTTAGGTCCTGTGCACAGATATCAGAAGAAGTAAGTGGAGGGTGAGAAGCAGACAATGTGGGAAAGACCATGCTGTTGATGCTGCTGCTGTGGTGCTGATACTCATGCTGAAGAAGACATCAAGGGTTCAGCAACTGGGTCAACAGATTGGGTTTTCTTTTGCATGTCATTCTATTTGAATATGTATTTGAATACATATTTGAAGCCAGTATTAGTATTTGCTTGAGACATAATTTAAATATGGACAGTAACAAAGGAAAGTGTTTAGATGTATTTTAATACTATTGAAGGAATGAACTACATGGCCTTGTTAAGATATTACCTATTTTAGTTCCCTTGCCTTGCAGACAGGCTTACATAGCCAGTGACCAATTTAGGATGACTGTTATTTTTCATGAAACATTTTTTTTCATAATTATTTTTAGTTGAGTATATTTGGAACCCAATGCTACCACACAATAACTTGTGAATGAGTTCTTGTCATAGTCAGGTGACTGTGAGCACATGTTCAGGTCTTCAGCATCCCATGCTCTCTGGTAAATTCTATAGCAGTTAGCACCTTCTTCTCAGGGCCGGAAGGGTCATTGAATGCTTGATCCCAGCTCTTTCTTAGATCAAGGCTATTTTAATATACATATGAACCAGATACAGCAAAGGTGGACAGTGACATGAGTGTGTGCTGCTCAATGAGGTTAAATTGGGGCTTGCACATGCATCCCGCTTAACCCCACAGTAATCCCAGGAGGGAGGCCTGTTGCCACTTTTTAATGAAGGGCTTAGTTGAGGGTTAAATAAATGTGTTCAAATCCATATTACTAGCAAGTGGAAAAGCCAGATCTCAAACCCAAGTTTCCTGACTCTTGAATCTAGTGCTTGTGGTCTTATGGTGTGTGTGAGTCTTAGCCAAATAAGTATAACCTGAAAATGAAAGCAGGCTAATGGATAGAGAGAGCTGTTCAACTGTGATGAGATGAAGAGTTGTAGATGACAGATGGGCTTAAAAGATTTTAAATTTGTTGCTAGGCCATTATGGTAGTCAGGTTGCAAATGACAGAGGTCAAGCCCCATTGAGACAAAAACAAAAACTCTCTTTTAATAAAAGTTATGATCTTTGGCCAATGCTCTGCATTTCTGAAATGGAATTGTTGTAGCCTGAAAGAATGTTGATTACCTCTTAGAATTTGTCAGAATAAGATTTGTTATAGTAACATTCAGAATATTGGGCTCTGTTTCTTTGATAGTACATGGATTTCTATGCAGAGTGGTCACCTGTCTTGTAAGCAGGTGGTTGAATAACTTAGATGGTAGGGAAGTGAATTTAAGAGACCTGATGTCCAGTCGAGCAAACACTGGTTAACTTTTTAGTAATTCCTTTGGAGCCCTTGAAATTCATCTTTAACCACCAGCCAGGTCTAAGTCACTGGGCTGAGCCGCAAAAAGGTACAATTGGGGAATTGGCGGTTCTTTGGTTTGGTCTGTGGATCACAGGCAGTGTCACTGGCTGTCGCCCTCAGTCAGGTTCCACTGAACAGTCTCATGAGCTAGTTTCCCAGATCCTGAGATGTCTCTACCTTCCTCTTACCCTCATTCCTCATCCCAGCCATGATCCTCCCTGTGCTCACACTTCAATTTTCAAAGTGTAGCTCCTGCTGCAGTAACAGCAGCAGTAGCATTGCCTGGGAACTTGTTAGAAATGCCTTTTTAGAAACTCTGGGGTGTGGTCAGCAGTTGATGTTGTCAAGAGCCCCCCAGGTGATTGTGGCGCTTACTCACATTTGACAACTGCTCCAAGCTGTCTGGGTAGAGTGGAAGAATGTCAGTTCTTACCCCAACTGGTCTGCTGGTTGTGGACAACCTCAGCAACATGGTTTACCTCCAGAGTTGCAGTATCCACAGCAGATAAGAGATAAGTGAGGCATTTGTATTACTTCCCAGGCTAATCCCTGCTCTGAGTGGCTCATTCTGGGCCTCAAAGTCATTTGTTGGTCTTTCTTCAAATACAAAAAAAAACCAAAAAAAAAAAAAACCTCTTCCTCCCTACCTCCAGGCTTGTTATGTTTCTCCCTGGGGATTCCCCATTGTGGTTTTCTTTCTACTTGGCACTTGATGTAAGCTTTGATGCAGAGCATGTGGAAAGTCATTTGTGGGGAAAAAAGCCCTATGTACACAATAAAAAGTGATGGTCTTCTTGAACTTGATGACAATGGCATTCAAGACTAGAACCCTTAATAACAGCAATTTTTGAACAATTAACTTTTTCTACTGGCTTACCAACATGGGTAAACTTTTTGTCATTTGCCCCAAATATTGCATCATTTGTGGATTCAGGAACCCTATACCTGAATCACATGCTAATGACAAGCTAGGTGTGCTTGTGAACTGGAAATGCGGGCCACAGTCCCAGGAGGGTCCTGGTCTCTTGAATTCTCTGGCCCATGCACACATTTGATTCTCAATTAAATTTCAACCCTGCTGTCTCAGTATCATTTTCCATCCTGTGATCTGGGGGAGGCATCACAGGGCTGCAGCTGTAGGGTGTGCATACCTCATCTGCACATCTGGCAAAACCCTCAGCAGATGTGAAGGAAGCCTGCACTAGCCCCACCAATTGGGACGCCTGTTCTCTCTCGGGGGGTAGGGGTGGAAAAGAAAGCAGAGTGCAGAGCCAGTGCTCCTTTGCAGTGAGCCTAGAGGCAGGGCCCACGTGCACTGCTCTGGTCTGCTTGGTTCCCGGAATGATGTTGAGATGCCGCAGTGGTTGGAGCTATGCTGCAGCTGTGTGTGCTGCAGACTTCAGTGTGAGGGAGGTTTAACGGGTGGGGTGGGGGCAGTAGTAAGCCAGTCTTGAAACATCCTGGGTTGATTCCTTTCCATCAGGTGAGACTTTCAGGGGATAAAACCTGAAAGTCTCTGGAATCTATTCTTAAAATGGAATAGGCAGAAATATATTTTATAAAAGTACCAGGTCTCTAATGACCTCTTCTGAAAACTTGCAACACCTAGAACTTCCTTGGCATTGGTCCCAGCTGTCATACTGCCAGCAGTTTCTTCAGGTTCTGTTTAAACATTTAATCCACTGGATGGAAATCCCATCAACCATAGTGCTGGGTAAATAGCATGTGCTGTTGGGGAAAGTCTTCAGACTCTGGGTACCTTCATTACTTTCCCTACAAGAGGTGCTAAGCAGCCCTCAGCACAATGTTTGTAAAACCACCTTGAAAAATGTAGAGCCATGTAAATAGCACTTGTCTGGGTCAAAATTGTGAGAAGGAGTAGAAGTCTTCCCTCTTTGTGTGTCCCAAACATTTACATTTAATCTTAAAAATACAAAGTGCTATGAGGAATATGTTTAAGGGAATGATTAATGTTATGTATGGGGACTACAAAATTAATTAGATAACTGGTTTCCCAGTGAACTTAATTTGCAAATACCTGGAAAGAAGCATATTTTGGGGTAGGATAGGTAATGGATTCAGTGCTGAGTATGCTAGCCATGTGATACCTGTTGGGATTTTAGGTAAGAGATGGCTTGGTAGACATCTGGCAAGTCTGGAACTCAAGAAAGGAGTTCTGCTCTAGGTATAAGTGGGAAAGAGCCATGAGGAATGACTGAGATCATTTTGGGAATGTAGGAGACAGGGGTCTGAAAAAGGAGCTGAAGTTCATAGTCTTGATTTATACTGGGCTAAACTATGAAACTTTTTGTGACTGCCCATCCCCCACCTTCACGCTCTGAATCAGATGATATAGACTGAGTCCTAACAAGCAGATTCTGACAAGTACCAAACATTGTGGGCCACTCCACTAAAACTCAAACACAGATTAAGGTGGATGATGTGAGAACTATCATGGAGAACAAGAACATAAAAGATGTAGACCCAAAAAAGCCATTAGAATTGGTCAGCGGGAAGTCACTGGTAACCTTTGGGAAGTATTTCAGAGCAGTAGTTGAGGTCACAGGCTTGTGAGTCCTGTCAAGCACTCACGCAGTTTCCCCATCCCCTCTTCCCTTTGAGCCTTGTTCTGTGCAGCTCAGTGTTTGACAGGGTACCCTGTGCTTCCTTACTTTCAGATCAAGTGTTTCCTCCCACATGCAACATAGGGAAGAATTTTCTGTCCCTCAATTACCTCGCCGAGTACCTTCAGCCCAAAGCCGCCGAAGGGTGTATGATGTCCAGCCAGCCTGGGGATAAGGAAGTACACATCATCGAGTTAATCACTCCCAGCTCTAACCCTTACAGGTGAGCAAGGATGTGTGTGTTTCTTCTGAACTGAGAGGAGATGAAAGTAAAGCTCTTTCCTGATTCATAGGTAGGGAGAGGTGCAACCCCTGCCTCTGCGGAAGGGAAGGACCCCAGTGGCTCCCAGAACTGTGAAGAGGAAGTAAAACACAGTATGATAGTTTGCTTTCTACATCTGTCTTTAGATGCCCTGTAGTCTAGGGAGTTCCTGAAGCCTGCTCTAAATTTCTGGGTGTTGTAGGAAACAGTGACTCTGCTGGATCATAATCCCCTCTTGACTGACGTTTATCCATCTTGAGACAATTACAAAATGTGCCGTATTAACATAATTTTCAGTTTAGTAACATTCTGGTTTGAATGAAGTTCTGTTCATAGTCTTCAGAGTGCTTACGCACACAGATTTTTTTGCTTTAAAGTTCTGTGTGCGAGAGACTGTGTGTGCGTGCGTGTTGGGGGAGTGGGGTGTGTGCCTGTGTTGGTGAGAGAGGCTGTTCCTGATTGATGGCCAAGGAGCCGTTGGATGGACACAACTAGCCTGTGTCTTACCTTTTCTCTGCATCAGTCAGCTTTCTACCCTTGGATTGGAAACATGACCCTGCCTATTGGAAATAATTAGAAGGTTTTTAAAAGAAGAGAAAAAGGAAAAAGAAAAAGTTCTTTTGGACTAGTGGTTTAGAAATTTAAATTTATAATGTGGATGAATTTTAAGATTAAATTTATAATTATTTTGATTTCAAAAGTGAAAAAAAACTGCACATCAGTTTTGGTAAGATTCCATGCAGTCCCACATGAGGAATTAGAGGAAAATTGAGATGGGACGGGAATAAAAACAAGCTAGCCAGTGCACATTGATATTAGGCCTAAGGCCTCTTTGGGGCTACCATTCACTTTGTGCTTCGCAAGTATGTAAACCCAAGAAAGACATAAAGACTCTTTCCTTAAATTCAAAGTGACAGAAATGTTATTGTTTAATAAAAAATTATTTTATACTAAATTCTTAGAAATTGGGTTGTACTCACCAATTTTCTAGCAATCACTTGGTTGACCATCTGCTTTCTTTATTTTAATAACTGTATGTCCATAAGTTTGAGGAAGTAACTGCAGCTAGGATTCTTTACAATTGTTAATGGCTTAAGCAAACCTTATGTAGGTCAGATTCTTCAGCCTGAGTACCTCCAGCCTTTGCCTCTCACTTTAGCCTGAGGTTTCCTCATTATTTTACCACCCTGCCTGCCTCCTCCCTGTCACCAGCTGCCCTCCTCACCAACCTGCCACTTGCTTCTTGTTCTGAAGGACTGTGAGCTCATAGCAAGTTGGACTTACACAATGAGGGTGTCACAGGTTGGAAAAGCAACAGTTGTGCTTCAAAAGTAAACTACCCTGGCTTGTTCAAGTCCATTTCAAGGAATGGCTGCATTAAATAACCACCTTTCCCTTCCCAAAGAAGAGAAAAACTTGAGTGGCTAATTGTCAACAGGCATGGATTTCTATTGTTATGTAAAACCATTTTGTTATGTGTGCAGTAACAATCTGTTTTGCACATGTCATCTGCCTGGGATGGACTCCAGCATTTTAATAAACTGGCCAGACACTAGAAACATGAAGACTTGGAGAGGGGAGATAGCTGCAAGGTTCTGGCATTTAGGGCCTAACTTTGTCTTTGTTTTCCATTCTCAGTGCCTTCCAGGTGGATATAATAATTGACATAAGACCTTCTCCAGAAGATCCTGCAGTGGTCAAAAATCTCATCCTGATCTTGAAGTGTAAAAAGTCTGTCAACTGGGTGATCAAATCTTTTGATGTTAAGGGAAACCTGAAAGTGATTGTAAGTTGATTGAATTTTTTTTTTTTTTTTTGTCTTGATGAATGACAGTATACTGTGCTTATGTGTGTTATTTTTATAAAGGTTCTAGCTCTTTGGACTCTCTGAACTCTCTCAGGTTTACTTTTATAAAAGTACTTCTCCTGACAAGGGTAGTCAGTGTGTTGATTAAAATATGGTCTCTAAGGCTAAGACAGGCCTGGGTTTGATTGAGTCTTAACTCTTGTGTTTACAAATTGTGACCTTGGGCAAGTCCTTTAGGCTTTCTGAATCCTAGTTGCCCCATTTGTGAAAGTCCTGAAGTGCACTGTGTAGACATAGTGGGTGCAGGATAATTAACACTGCTCAGCCTTTTATGGTTCAGTGTCCTATAAGGCGCTTATGTCATGAATATCAGATTTTATTTGGGGTTGTGTACTTAGGGAAGATACAGAAAATTAGACTGACCCCTGCCGACATCATAAGACTTTTCTTTTTCAGTTACATACATGGTATCAGCATGAGTTTTTGCTTGCTTTAAACTCACAGGGCTGGAACACTCAGAAGAATCAGGGAACTTTGAGTATGTGCCAGCATGTTCTTTAAACATCTTATTTCATGCAAGTCATGCCCTTCACTGGTTGGCATGATAGGAAACAGCAGCTCGCTCTCTGAAAAGTTGAACATTGAAGTCTGGTAAAATAAAGCTTACCTCAGATATGTTTAGGAAATGGCTATTTGGCATACTGTTGGAGTGAATACTATGGAAAGTTAAAGAAAAGTCCTCTCATTTTTAAAAACTCCTTTAGCGTCTCTTTTGTAGGCTCAAAGTTTGTTTTTTTTTTTTTTTTTGTTTGTTTGTTTGTTTTTTTGTTTGTTGGAACCAGGGATTGAACTCAGGCCCTTGCGCTTGCCAAGGAAATGCTTATTCCACTGAGCCATCTCCCCGGCCTCTATACGCTCAAAGTTTTATGCATTATTTTTTTTGGAAACATTTCACCAACTTCTGTTTCACCTGTATTCAGTCAGTTGCAGTGGATTTTATGCTTTCAGTGTGTTAGGAGCAGGCTATCTTGGTTTTGGTATTATTCATTCATGCATGCATCTTCCATGTGATGTGGTATGAGCAAAGCCAGCAGTTTCCTAGGCAACATCATGTAAAGGTACTTGCAGGAGGCAACAGCAAAGCCAGGAGCATGCACATCTTAATTTTAAAGTAATCTTTTCTGGTTCCTGTGGTTTCTGCCTTTTTTTTTTCTTAAACTTCGAGAGGGTCCCAATAACTCATTATGTGTAACGGTGATACATTAATTTGGTGTCAAGCGCAAAGCCCAGCCATGACTTTTCTGAAGTCACAGATACTTTGATTGCCTTCCCTGGCATGGCATGAGGGGTGTTGGTGACCTGGGGTGTCTCCTGATTTTGCTGCCTGGCACACCAAGCAAATGTTTTTAATTTCAGAATAACAAAAACAGGAAAGGGAATCATGCTTTGAAAGGCAAAAAACCATACGGGACATTTTAATTCCCAGCCAGAGTTCTTGTATAAATATGCTTTCAGCCCTGACCCTTCAGTGGCTCATTCTCTCCCTGAGCGTGTGTGCTTGGCCTGTGGCAGCCTGGAGTTCACTGGGAATGTCCCATCTCTCATCTGAATCAGAAAGGCTAGCGATGAGGTTGTTCATCCCAAGAAAGATCTGTTCATATTCTTCTCCTTGGCTGTACTCCTGTTCCAGGCCAGTTTTGGACAGTGCATGACAACATTACTAAACAATTAGGTAATGTTTCATGGTGGTTTTTTTTTTTTTTTTTTCTCCCAATCAGTTTCATGCTGGGTGATTTCCTAACTCCATGTCTCAGATGTGAATTCTGACTAGGCTGTAGGAGAAAGAAAGGTACTTAATAATAAAACAAAGTTTAAGTTACTGCTTTGAAAGGGAAAAATGTTTTATAGAGACCTTGTTTCCAGTATTTTAAGTATAGATAGCATGATGAAATGGAAGAACCCTGGCTCTGGATCAGACAGTGCTAGGTTCTAGGCTCGTTTCTCATTGTCGTCACATCAGCAGATATTGGGCAATCTGATTGAACACTCGCCTGTGAAATGGGTGTGCTGCTAGTTCTCACTTCACTGGTTTAACTGGGTTCATTCATTCATTCATTCATTCACTCAATAAGTATTGGTTAAGGCCTACAGGATATTTTGTCCAAAGCACTGGACACAATGCCTGCACATCTTGAGTTCTCTGTGAGTCTGTGGTTCTCCTTCTCCAACCCAGGAATAACAACACCTCTCTCCTTATTTTAGAGGAGGATTAAAATAGGAGACTCATCTTCATTCCATAAGAGCTTTAAGAGTGTATCTATACAAACAATTAGGGTATTTCTATAAACAAGGTGAAAACAAAGAACAGTGTCTACTGAAGTAACCATAAGCAGCATGATGGGGTAACATTTTATTTATTATTATTTTTTAATGTTTTTAGTACAGGGTCTATAGGATCTCACTACACAGAGTGGATTCCTAGTGACCCTCCTGTTTTCAGCCTCCCAAGCACTGGGATTATAGGCGCATGCCAGCACGCCCAGTCTCAATCGCCTTCTCAGCGTGCCCCAGGGGCAGGGCCAGCATGGCACACTGGGGATCGAAACCTGGTTGCTGAACCTGCCTAAGCAGGAGCTTTTTTCTGCTGAGCTATTTGGCAGCCCATGATGGGGTAACTTTAAATAAGCGCACATGAAGCGTGGGTGCCGTGTGCCTGTGTGGGGAGAGTGCACACTTCGGATAGCAGAGTGCTCCAAAGAGATCAGAAGCTGGTGCTGGGAAAGAATGGCACCCAGATGTGTCCACGCTCTGTGCCCAGCTCTGGCTCTTTCCTCAAGTGCCCTATGGCCGTGCTTAGCCATTTCTACAGCCAAGGGGGAAAAAAAAAGCCAGAACAAAAAAGAAGAGGTCAAGTAAACTCAAATCTTCTTGCACTCTGTTATATGGCCTTAGGATTTACAAATTGGTGGTGGACAGCTTATTCTTTAAAAAATTTTAAAATCAACACATGTGGGCACTGCCCTCCAGCCCACCCTCCCCTCACATCCCTCCCTCAAGTCATTGCTGATGTGACTATGGGAGACAAAGGTTGAGGCACTTAGACTTTTTAACCTAGCTCATCATCTTTGTTAAAGATGTGGCTGGGGAAGATGGTGGTGAAATTTGGAGACCTGTTTGAACTCTCCCTAACCTCCGCTGTGGTTGGAAAAAGCCTAAGAACTCCAGGAGATAAAGAGAGAAGAATTTGCTCAGTGCTGAGAACCAGCTTACCCACCATTACCCCAAGCCCTGCTGCTCACAAAGGTGTGGATAGAGATCTAATCTTTTAAGAAGTTCTTATCCTTAAGCAGGTACTGACAGCTCCTATAGAATGTAATATGGAAAGGTGTGGACAGATTATTCCATATTAGTATAAGAGGACAGATGGTAGTTATGTTGATAATATTCTGGAAATACCATATTTTCTCAGCTGTTCAAAATGCAAGACCAGGGCAGATGAGGCCAAGCAGCATTGTTTAGTCCAAGGTTGTGATTCCAGCCAATCAAAACGATCTGCTGCTTTGAAAAGCTGGAAGAAACTGTGCTTAAGAAACTGCTGGTGACCAAATGAGTCAAATGTTCTAGCAACAAATTGGATCCTCCTTCACCTTACTTTTCTTTCTTTCCTTTTTTTTCTTTTCCCTTCCTCCCTCTTCCTCCTCTTCCTTTCCTTTTATTCCTCTGAGGAGGTTCTTTGAGTCAGAGCTAAACTCTTCTGAACCCGTGGAGCTGAGTTTACAGATGGCTGCAGAACTCAGTTAAGGCTCCATCTGCCTCTTTAGTGTGCGGTGCTTGTGACTGGTCAGTCTGGCCGTCTTCCCTCAGTTCCCTCAGATAAGCGCTTCGGTAATAGAAAAGCAGGCCGGGTGAGATCCTTTACACTTTGAACTGGAGTTTGTGTGTCCTCAGCCAATCTCCCACAACGAAAGGCCAGGAGAATGTGGAGCCTATGAGTCTTGTATGGTTTTACAGTGGGAAAGGATTAATATTTAGTCATGTTAGAGGCAAACTGAATGAGAAACAAATGAGGAATTTAGGGAAAATGCTGCATAGATGCAGGAGAAAATCTCTGGGCATGGAAATTAAAGTGGCTTTTATTCAGCATGAAAATAGTATAATCTGCGCACTGGAAGGGGTTTCCAGCCCTGCTGGAGCCGTTGTTGAAGTTGCGTCTTCCCACTGGGCTCTGGGGAACCCTCTGAAGCATGCAGGTGCCTTTCCCTCTCACGAAGTCAGCCCTACAGGAGTCAGCAGTGACTCCACCTCGCTTCTAGGTCCTGGCCACTAAGAGTCCACTGACACATCTCGTTTTATTTTTGTAACTGATTACACAGTGACACTCCATGTTATTATCTCCATATTTTACTGAATAAAATATTGGTACCTAGAGGGGTGATAATTTTAATTAACATTTTAGAACATAAAATAGACATATTCTACTAATAGAATTGGCAAATAAACACAATATAGACATTTGTTGTTTAACCACATAGAATATAATAAAAATGGGATAGTCTCCACAGTGAAGTCACTAGATTGTACCATTTTTCATTTAAATATAGGTTCAAAAGTAGATGGGGCTGGGGAGATAGCTCAGTAGAATAAGCCTGGCTAGCTCAAGGACCTGAGTTCAATCCCTGGTACCACGGGAGGAAGAAAAAAGTAGAAGCACAGACATTTTCTTTGGGGATCATATAGGATTTACACCTTTATACTTTATATATGACTTTAAATAAAAATAAGGAAGTATATATATATATATACATATATATATATGTATATATATATATATATTTGCATGTAAATAATGGAACCATGAAATTATTTCTGTAGGGATAGACTAGGTATATTTAGCAATGTGTGTAGCTTTCATTGGATTACTCTTATCAGTACAAGCAATCTTTTGTTTTGTTTGTGGTACTGGGGATTGAACTCAGGACGTTGCACTTGCCAGGCAAGTGCTTACTCTACTGAGCTATCTCCCTGGCCCAAGTACAAGCAATCCAAATGCTGTGGTCACACAGCATGAGTAGAGGTCTCTTCACCTGCTATCAGAAGTTTTTCACCTTGGCGTTCTTAGCCCAAGGAAAATAGGGATCAAAAGAATAAATAATTCCTCATATACAATCTGGAATTTATTAATGATTATTATTGAAAATACTTTTTGATGGGGGCCGGGGAGATGGCTCAGTGGAATAAGCGCTTCTCTGGCAAGTGCAAGGGTCTGAGTTCAATCCCCGGTTCCGCCAAAAACAAAACAAAACAAAACAAAAAAACAACTTTTTGATGTTGGGAGTCATGAGTAAAATTTTGCTAAGACTTTGTTTGCTTTCTTATTTGTTTATTTAGGCTCCCAACAGTATTGGCTTTGGGAAAGAGAGTGAAAGATCCATGACAATGACCACATCAATAAGAAATGACATTCCTTCTACCCAAGAGAATCTGGTGAAATGGGCTTTGGACAACGGCTATGGTCCGGTGACATCATACACAGTGGCTCCTGTTGCTAACAGATTTCATCTGAGAGTTGAAAACAATGGTAAGTATGACTGTTTGAGAGGATGTTGTGTGAAAAATACCCTCCAAATGAAATTATCCTGTGAGGAACTCTCGGTTCAGCTTGAATGGTGTTTTGCTGTTGCATATTTTAGTGATTTCTTTGACTGCTTTCTACCACAAGACATATAATTAGAATTGTGGCAGACTATTTTAGCAAGATCATAATACAGATTTCATAACAGAGTTGACTATGTGGCAGAAAATTTTGTTGTAAGTCATATTTATAATGATTATATTAGGAATGCATTAGCCTAGGTTCTTCTGCCAGAGGTACTTAATGACCACACATGGCTGAAGATACAGTTGGGTTAGGGACGCAGGAAAGGAGTTGAGAGAGGCTGAATCTTTCAGGAAAATGGTCAGGAGGGCCAAGACCTGGGCTTTGCTATCAAGGCAGAAGGACAGAGTTGTCACTCCCATTTGCTGCAGCGGAAAGCAAAGCCTCAAGTTCTCTAGGCTTTTCATTATATAACTAATATAACTTGAGCCCCAGTTTTTAGATCCCCAGACTTGTTCCTTATCCCCTGTCCCACTGAGTGCAGTGCCAGTAGAATGAAGGTTACAAATTGAGGTTCAAGTCCCAGTGCCACCATTTATTCATTATTTGGAGAGAAGTCATATAACCTTTGAGCCTCAGCTTTCTCTCTGGTATGTGGGGGAAAATAATAGCACCTACCTTACAGGGTTGTTGTAAAAGTTTTGTTAATGTACAAGTCAAAGACCCTTCAAAGCTGTGACTTCTCTGGGACTTGCACAGCTGAAGCACCCTTTTCAAAAGGAGTATATTGAAGGAGAGTTAAAGTTCACCAGGCATCTTCATGTCCAACCTCCACTGACATGGATTTGACTTTACATATGCACCAGCTGGCCTTAGATAGTAAATAGAAAGTAAAGAATACTGGGAAAGTAATTTTTCTTTAAATTGTTGATAGAATACTGAATGTATTTTGTATGGAAATTCTCTTTCTCGCTGAAACAATAAGGAAACCCTGTGCCTTTTAGAATTTAGCACTTGAGGTAGCAAAATAATGTTAAAATACCAAAATTGAGGCAGAGAGTATAGATGATGGCACAACATTTGCCTAGCATGCTTGAGGCCCTGGGGAGGCTGAGGCAGGAGGATCACCATGAGTCCAAGCTACTCAGCGAGACTCTGTGTCAACAATAAAATCACTAACACCAAAAACTGTTAGAAATAAATAAAATGCTACTATTATTTCAGGAAATCTTTTGGAAAATGTTTTTTAAAAATCTCTAAATTTAGAGAAAGTGTTCAAATTGACTTTTGAATGGAATAATATTGCCCCACCTAACTTGAGTCACAGATGCTTAGCTTTTTTATTTATATATTGTAGAATTATCAAGGATGGCAAGATAGTTCACCTAAGTGCCTGAATAGGCAAGCACAGGGACCAGGTTCAATTCCAGGTAGCACAGGCTGTGCCAGCCCCGCCTCTGGGTATGCTGAGCCAGCCACGAAACCGGGTGTGGTGGCACCATGCCTGTAATCTGAGAGTTGGGAAGGCTTGAAAACAGGAGGCTCAGTAGGAGTCCAAGCTACATAGTGAGACCCTGTAAGAAATACATGAAGAAAAGAAATATCTATCCAAACACTTTCCCAATCTTGGCTGTACACTGTAGTCAGGTGGGGAGCTGAGGATATGTGGGTGATTGTGTCCCACCACAGAGTCTAAGTTTTAATTGGCTTGGAAAATAATCTGGGCATAGACATTTTTCTTAAGCTTTAAAATTGATTTTAATGTACATCCATTGTTATGATACTGATATAATTCAACTCCTTAAGTTTAAAAATTGGGAAACTGAGGCATGGGGAAAGTCAAGAGCCACCCAGTTAGTGGAACACCAAGACTGGAATTTAGCCTCCCCAGTTGTTTTGGAACATTGCTTGTTAAATATCATTTTATGCTGCCTGTTCTGTGCTAGCCCCTCCTGCTTTGCCTCTAATCATGATGACTGTGGCCTGGCCTCACACCCTGATGATGATTTGCCTTCTTCTGTTGCCACAGAGGAAATGAGAGATGAGGAAGTCCATCCCATCCCTCCTGGCCTGAAGATCCTGCTGGACCCAGTCATCCTGCCTGGCCCAGAGAACCCACCCTTCCAGGGAGGGGACAGCCAAACTGGAGGTTTCCCCTTTCCTTTCCCTGATATCCCCAGGAGAGGATGGAAGGAAGGAGGAGAAGATAGGATCCCTAGGCCAAAGGATTCTGTCATCCCCAGCATACAACTGTTTCCTGGTCCCAGAGAACCGGAAGAGGCACAAGGGAGCATGGATATTGTCCCATCAGTCAAATGTGACAATGAAAAGATGATTGTGGCCGTAGAAAAAGATTCTTTTCAGGTCAGTGCAGTCTGTTAAAAGAGAGAAGAGGGGCCACTTCCTTTCCGAACATCTTGCCCCATTCTGTGTTCACACGTTCTCTTTTAATTTTGGAGACTTTGGAGAGTTGGTGTGGTTTTAGTTGGATGGTCCCACTTCTGCTTGGCTGTAAGTCTCACCTGGTTCCTGTTGTTCTCAGTGGAGGGGTGGGGGATTCCAGAGATTTGTATGCCAGTATTTTGCTATTGAATTTCCAAGGCCAACAAACAATTCCTGGGCTGTTCACAGGTGGTGAGCCGGGAAGAGGTAAGTGGGGCAGGGGGCAGGATACTGGCCTCCTTCACATGGAAGATCAGGCCATGTGTGTGTGCTGTGCTCAAAAGGACTGCCTGTAAGCCCTCCAGAATATCTCTGATGGTTGTTTTTCAGACTAACAGCCACTCAGGGATGGAGCTCACCCTGTTGGATCCCTCCTGCAAGGCCAAGGTGAACAGCACACACTTCATTTTGGAGTCTCCTCTGAATGGCTGTGGAACTCAGCGCCGGCAGTCAGCCTCCCATGGTGTGGTTTACTATAACTCAGTGAGTGTTCTCCACAACAAAGCTTTGCCCTTCTCCAGAGAACTGCTGTGTGTTCTCTTAAGATTAGTCTTCTCTTTCTGTGAGAATGGTGTACCTAAACAAAGCCGGGAGCCAGTTCTCAACAAAATGTGCTGCACCTTCACCCTGAGCTCTTTTTTTGCTTTATTGATGAGTCTTTGGGAGTTGGAAGGTTGTATTTTTCAGCTGGAGTTGTGATCACACCCTTTGTCTCCTTCCATGTGACAGCAAAAGTTCGCTAGCAGTGTGATTATAATTTCTTTCTATGTACAGCAAACTGAAGGGCATGACCTGATCCTTACAGGACAAAATCCAAGCTGTTGGGCTACATGTGAGAGGCTTTAACCAGATATATGTTCTCTATAGCTTCATTTGGGTCTTATCCAGAAGTTAGAGGGCTTCTTCTTTTCTCATAAATAATTATCCAAAGAGAGAATTTAAAATCTAAATGGACCTGGAAAGAATTACCAAGTCACTCTCTCCACTTTAAGGAAAAACTCTACATTTAGAATTTACCCAGAGAGAGTCCACAGATTGCCCGCCATGATAACCATTATAATCGCTCACCTTCCAGCAGTCTTTCTTATTGGTTCATCTAATCATTTCTCTGCATTTTAAATCTGTTCTCTGATAGAGACTAGGGTAGGTAGTGAATTTTAAAAGGAATTGAAACGTGAAATCTTACAAGAATGTCAAAGTGCTAGTTTTGTAGCTAGGAATTTACTTTCCGTGGTAGCAATAAGGCTCAGGCATCCCGCATCTGCCTGGGCTGGGAGTGTGCATCGGTGTGCTCTGAGCACCTACTCCAGCCTTGACATGGGATGCCATGACTGTGCGGCTGGTTTTTACCCCACAGTAACTTGACCCAATGCAGAGAAGAGGCCCAAGATGGGGGCTCTGGTCAATGTGGTTACATGGCAGCAGCTCTTCTGTGGGCCCAAGTTTATTATTCCTCAGAGAACCTCAAAATGTTGGAGCTGGAAAGAACCCTGACATGATCTCATTCAATTTCCTCATTTCACAGGTGAGGAAATTGGACTCTGGGGAGCTAAAAGACTTGCTTAGATCCAGGTGACTGATTACTGGCAAAGCTAGGATTGAATCCAGCTTCCTCATCTCTTGTGTCCAGTAATTGTTCTTCAGTACCAAGCTTGCCTAACAGATATCCAGTTCTTATACAAATAATTAATTTGTTAACCTTTGACTTCATGCTAACTACAACACTAATTTTCTTGTAGTCATCTAGTACCTCCCGATAAGAGAATTTAAAATCTAAAAGGACCTGGAAAGAATTACCAAGTCACTCTCTCTACTTCAAGGAAAAACCCTACATTTAGAAGTTACTCGGAGAAAGAGTCCACAGATTTCTCTCGATGAAAACCATTATAATCAGTAACTTTCCAGGAATCTTTCTTGTTGGTTCATTTAATCATTTCTCTTCATTTTAATATTCAATATTACTGCTGCGCTTTACTTTTAGCATTTAAAAACTAATGTCCAAGTTAATACCAGTAACAGGGTATGATAATCTGGGAACAAAAGTATCAGTTGCTTAGAGAGAAAGGCATATCATGACCTCCTAAGGACCCTTCTTTCTCATATATTTTCATGGACTTTATTCCAATTATAAAGTAAGCGGTAGCCTTGGTACCTGTTTCAGTTACATCAGTATTTTCTTTTGAGAACCTGGTAAAGAAGAGAGAGGCAGCTTTTCTTTAAACTCTTTTCATTCTGTTCCCTTCAATGAATATATTGTTTAGCTGTAAGTGTTTCTAGTAATTTTTTGTGAATTTTGACATATTTTTGTTTTGCATTATGTTCAGAATCCAATAATACTGAGTGAAAAGAAATTAGGATTTTGTGATCTTAACTGCGCTTTCCTTGCCTTTTAGATTGTGATACAGCTTCCGTTGCCTGGGGACAGCAGTGGCTGGCCAGATGGCTATGAAGATTTGGAGTCAGGTGATAATGGCTTCCCAGGAGACTTGGATGAAGCAGACACTTTTCCCTTCAGCCGTCCTGAAATTGTGACGGTATGTACTGGCTTTGAGTAGGTAGTTTATGGAGAATGCTGTCTCTTTATTTGGCTTTCATTAGGGACTATCAGTAAATAAAGTTGTATGTTAAAGGCCAAACTTACTAAACTGCCAGGTCTTCATCCTTCCTATGACTCTGATTTATCTTTTTCTTTCTCTTTTTTTTTTTTTTTTTTTCTGCCCCCTCAGTTTAATTGTAGCTTGAGGCAACCGGGGAATCCCAGTAGCTTCCGGAACCAGCTCAATGAAAACATCACTTTCAACATGGAGCTGTACAATACTGACCTTTTTCTGGTGCCCTCCCAAGGGATCTTCTCCGTGGCCGAGAATGGACCCATCTATGTTGAGGTAGGACATCGGCCTTAGGCTTTCAGCTCAGCTCTGAGTTACAGGTCCTGAGGCAGTAGCTAATGCACCTCACCTGGGCCTCGCTGTCCTCACACTGCCCCAGCTCGGGCTGACGGCTTGGCTCTGAGCATGGTTCAGTTTGCTTTTTGAACAGAAGAGGAAAGTTCAGGATTTAATACATTATGCTAAATGGAGAGACTCTTTGGTAGATAAATGCTAAAGATAAAAAAGGCAGAGTATGAGTTATAATAAAGCCTTGTGCTTGCTTTATGATAGTTCTGGCCCTAATATGAATTGCTGAAATCACTATGGTGGTCATCTAATATGGCCGATGCCCTTAAAACAAAAGCCCATCATCCCCAAGACCCCCTCCCTGCTTCTTCTCCACCTCAGCCCAGGGTGCAGTTTCCTTTCACCTTTCTCACCGCCTCAGGGAAGGCCCCAGTCAGCCCCTCAGGTAGATCTAAGCATCCCCCTCAAGCCTCACCCAGGCAACAGGCCATAAAAGCCTCAGCTTCCTTTTGTTCCAATCCAGAGAATTTCTGAGAGAATTTCTTATCTTCCCAAATTCTCTCCTTGTCCTCAAAGAGAATAAAGCCTCTTTTCCTTGGTGCGCCAGGTGCCTGAAAAACCTATCACTTTAAAGTTAGCATTTTTTAGGACAGCAGTTTAGAAGTTGCCCTGTCAGGGTTAACCAAGGAATGTTTCAAATCGCCTTGCATATTATCTTTTAAATTCCGTTTATTTTTAAGTGAATACCAGTGGTTACCATATTTCACAGAAATGATCATTTCTCAATCTTTATATGTATTTATTAAAACTTTCCTGTATAAAACCAATAATCATGCATGGCATAAATGTGAAGTGACTGCAAAATACTAGGTAGTAGCAGTAATAATTAAGTAGTAGCAGCTAACATTATTACTGTTGTATGATGTTCCAAATATAGTTGTAAGAATTGTAGTAATTAACTCTTCAGAGCAGTCTGTGAGAATGGACAAATAGTAACTTCACTGCATGGGTGAGAAAGCTGAGAAGCAAACTTGTCCAAGGTCACCCAGCTGCTGCCTAGTAAAGACTCAAATTTTCCCCTTCCCCCAGACTGTGTGGCTCCATAATCCACACTGTTGTCCATTGGTGCTATTGTCATTTATCCTCAGAGCCATTTGAAAGGGAAAAAACATAACCTCTTATCAATGCAACTATCTAGGCTCACAGATTGGACTCTAGAAAAGCCAACTGTCCCTCTGGCACCACACTGTCTGTTGCCATTGTGCCTTGGACAGGACCCATCATGTCTCAACGGAGGCTATTGTCTGCTGGCCCTAAGGGGTGCTGCCGTCTGCTGAGCTGGTGTGGGTGCTCAGCTGCAAGCTGGTGCTCTGTGTCCCTGTGAGAGGCGCACCGGGCTTAAGGGATTGAAGTAGGATAGTTCCATATGTTTAAAAGTGACTTCAGTGCACATGCTTCTGTTTTAGAAAGATAGATAAATCACACATCTGCCCTGGCTCTGGGGCCAAGCCTGCTGGCTCTAGATGTTTTCCTTGATCATAGGGATTCTGTCTCTCCTCTTGTGACCCCCTATTTTGAGAGGGCCTCTCTTTCTTTGGGTGCCTCTACTTTCCCTGATGAGGAAAGAAGTCTGCTTTCTCTGTACTGTTTCTAATCACAGCTCCACTAATCCAAAGTTGCTTTTTTCCTCGGGCTTTCCTGGCTGCCCAATGCGCATGTGCCTTTGGTCAGTAGCTTCCTATTGTGTTGCGGATTTTAGTGGCATTGTTTAACTGCACTTTGTTCTTTTCTAAATATGTGCCTGGTGTGGCTAATTTATGGCTTTGCCTGTTTATGCTAATCTGCCTTGTGTAGCTTACCCTGGATATTTTTGAGCTTTTTTCCTTTATCCCTGCATTGCTGGCGTAATGTATTATTGGTAGTTTTTTTTCCTACCCCTTTTTATTCTTATTTTACCTTTATATCTTTTCAAATATCATCTCTATCTCATGTAGTTAAAGTTAGTATGGGCCAGGGAGGTAGCTCAGTGGAATAAGAGCTTGCCTAGCAAGCGCAAGGTCCTGAGTTTGATCTCTGGTACCACATAATAATAATAATAATAATAATAATAATAATAATAATAATGATGTTATTAAAAAGTGGACCAAATCTTTTTACTATATATATATATATTTTTTTTTTACTAAATATATTTTAAATATTAAGTACATCAAAGAGAACTTAGGGATGAGAAAATGTTTTAAATAATTGTATTTTTAAAAACAGATTTAAACTACCTAAAATACAAGAGACTCTGTAAATGTTTTGCTAAACAGGACAGCAACCAACTGTACTTCGTCTTTGCTTTCCACTTTGTACTCCACTACTGGTAGGACATGTTTTTACTTAGGTTAAGTGGAACTTAGAAACCATGGCTATGACCTAAAGAACTATTTCCTGGCATCTTCTGCTCACCCTTCTTCTTCCCCAGACCCTCCATTCCCTTGGACCACAATTCCTTCCTTTAATCCACGACATCCACAGTTTTGCCACCTGTTCTCTGGTCATCTCTGGGTGATTAATAGTGCTGTAACAGCAGTTTCTGTTTTAGATGGTTTGTTTTGAAGAATTAAAGAAGAAACAGTATGTAATCTTCCAAGTTTAAATCCAGCATCATGCCGCTAATTGGCCTCCTAGAAGCTGTGTTGTTTACGTGTGACTTTTTATTAGCGTGTGTTTACAGCATGTAACAATTGTGTTTATCATAGGGAATTGGTACATGTGCATCACACATCTTAATTCTTTTTGTCCCTTACTCTGCCCCCTGCTCCTTGTCCCTTCCCTCGCTCTTGGTCTCCTTCCCATTTGTACAAGCTCTATTTTCGGGGTTTTTTTTTTTTTTTTCTTCAATTCTTCTTCATCTTCTTTGTCTTCATCTTTGTCTTTTTTTGTGGAACCGGGGATTGAACTCAGACCCCTGCATTTGCCAGGGAAGTGCTTATTCCACTGACCCATGTCCCCAAGCCTTTCTTCAATTCTTTAACCCACCCCCCTCCAATGACTTGTCAGCCCATCCATTTGAAAGAGCTCTTCCTACTTTCTATTTATCATATATTGATTTCTCCGAGTGGAATTTATAGAGTCTGCCAAAAATAAAGATAAACTAGAGGCCTTTGTAGGTCAAGAGATGGACCTTGAAGCCATAATATTAAGTGAAGTGATACAACTCTTACATCCCTAATGCTGACTGCCTACAAGTCAGGCTGCCCAGAAGCTGTCTTCTTTAAATGTAACTTTTGTGATACTAATTCACTCATTAACTGTACCTTGTAAGTATTAGGTCCTTGTTCTGTAATTGAGGACCCTGAGTCCGAGGTGTATGTGTGAGCAGGAGAGGCTGTGGTTTCCTTGCACTTTTCTCTTTCCATGCCTATATTCTTTTACTATTCATGGAGAGACCATTTGGTTTTGTTTGTTTGGCACTGCTGGGGATCAGTCCCCAAACCTCACACATGCAGGGCAGGTGCTCTACCTCGAAGTTCTGTTCCCAGCCTTCCAGTCTATTGTAGCATAAAAGATTTTCTGATAATACTTTTTTCCTCCAAGACAACTTTTTGGAACACCCTAGACTTCTTGCCACCACATACTTCCTTTGAGAGTAAGAAAAGATTTGCAGTACGTTTCCTATACATTTTTAGTAGGTTACACATGATAGAGTCTGACTGCATGTTAAAGGGTACATTTGTTAGTAGGATATATGTAATTTACCATCTTTCCAAGATAGAATATCTTGTTCTTCAGAAATATTGTAAAAGTAATGACATATAAATATTTGCAGAATGTCACCCCAAGGTGACAGTGTCATGATTATTGTCATTAGAAGCCTCCTACTTTCATCAGCTTTGTGATCGAGTACTGTGTTATACTCACGTGGGGATCTTCCATACAGTGCTGTGGATTCAGTGGTCCATGAGATGTCAGGGATTTCCCCTGGGTATCTCAGAATAGAAAGTTTGTTTCTCTCTCCACATCTTTTGAACAGATTCTGGGGCTCTTGGCCCATGAGTAAGAGCTAACTTTATTTCTAAAGTGTTTAAGTTTATTTTGATCCTAAGTTTAGTCAAGGAATGAGGCATAGTAGGAGGGGTGGTTCACAAAGTGAGCCGCATGTCGCCAGATGAAGAATCCAGTCTGTTCCGGAGATTTTAGCTGAGCTCAGGATAGTTGAGGTTTGATTCTGTTTACACTTGGCTAACCACTACTTCCTGTTTCAAAAGAAAAGAACCTTAACAAGATTTGGACATGACCCATACAAATGTTTTGTAAGAGGGAAGTGTAAATGAGTTGGAACTGTTTCCAGATTAGATTTCCCTTTAAAAATACCCGTAGGCCTAGAGAGTGAAGGGCGAGTAGTTGGCAAGGCCACTGTAGTCCTGTGAGCAGCTCGGACACTTGGCCAGGCCAGAGATGGCCACCAGATTGCACCTTCTGAATATCTAGTCCCAGAGATGGCTCTGCTCCCTAACAATGGAGAACTTGAGATGGGTCTGGAGCTTTACTGTGATGTTCTAGGTTTGCTCTGATTTGCTGCAGTATAGAAGCTTGGTCTTTCCTGCTTCTGTTAACTAGATTCTGCCTCAGTACTTTTTTGTTTGTTTGAACAATTTCATGACTGTCCTGTAAGTAACGCACTACTGTAACTTCAAGGGGTTTTGCTGTGGACATTTTATTTATTTTGGAAAATTCACTTAGGTGGTTGGTGTGCTTTTATTTTTTTCTCTCAGAGAACTTAACAGGAGGTTGAGACATTCATATTGCATTTGAAACTTGGCAGGCTGGCATTTGAACTGAACAACTCACTGTCATCATTCATATCAAGTTTAAATGGAAAATATCTCTTTAATGAACATGTGCTACTTTTGTAGTTAGAAAGAAACCCATAAACATGTTAAGAAAATAAAGTAACATCTCACCCAAAGTATATTGTTCTCAGGCCTACAGTAAAAGATGTTTACTCATGTCTGAACTTACCTTTCTGGCTTTTTATAGGTGTCTATCACTAAGGCTGACCAAGAACTGGGATTTGCCATCCAAACATGCTTTATCTCTCCATCCTCAAACCCTGATAGGATGTCTGATTACACCATCATTGAGAACATTTGTCCTAAAGATGAGTCTGTGAAATTCTACAGTTCCAAGAGAGTACACTTTCCTGTCCCACAAGCTGAGATGGAGAAGAAGAGATTCAGTTTTATCTTTAAGTCCATGTTCAACACCTCGCTGCTCTTCCTACATTGTGAGCTGACACTGTGCACCCAAAAGGACGAGGCCCGCCAGAAGTTGCCTAAGGTGTGTGGGCTCCCATCCACAGGGATTGAGTTTTGGCATTGTTATGCACAGCAGTGACCTTGGGGGAAGTTGAATCCCAAATTATTGCAGGTTGAGGTTTTTGGTTTGGGAATTGCCCAATGGAAGTAATAAAGTCAGTGTGAGCAGGGGATGGTTATGGAGTCTTGGAGAATAAATCCTAATGGCATGATTTTTTTTCTCTTTCTATATATGCTATTTAGTAGTTCTTTTTTAAAAAATTAATTTTATTGAGAAAGAAATTGCAATGAGACAGTTTCAAAACAGGTCAGTAGGGCAGTTACAATAATTAATACATTGCATATTGTTGTCTTTGTAGTAGTTATTCATAGTACAAGATATAGACATGATATTTTTTTTTCTGGTAAGGCATTTTATTAGCATTATTTTATAACAAAGCTTTTTATTCTACAAGTTTTTATTCTACATGTCTTTTTTTGGTTTTATATTAGATTTTATTGGTATATTTTAGATATACATAACAATTACAATCATCATAGAGAATTTGTACTTTTTTTCAAAGCTGATTAATAGGACAGTTTCGATAATCAATACATTGTATGTTGTTATCTTCTTAGTGGTTATCCCTAGTACAAGAAGCAGACAGGATTTCCTGTCCAAACACTATTAGTACTCTTCTTTCTTCTCGTTGAATTGAGCGAAAGTAGCTGTATATTTATCCTAACTATTTTGTATATATAAATACAAAGTGATCTTTCCTTTGTATCCCTTTTTTTTTTATGTCCTGTCAGAGGTGGATATTCATTGGCATCTAAATACTATAGGGACCGGGGAGATGGCTCAGTGGAATAAATGCTTCCCTGGTAAGCGCAAGGGCCTGAGTTCAATCCCTGGTTCCGCCAAAAAAAATAAATAAATAAAATAAATAAATTAATAAATACTATAGGTGTTTGAATTCAGCTAAACAATCTAACACTGTCTAGCAGTCTATAATATTAGTGGGTTATCCTCAGAAGTTATTGACTTGAGCCTTTACAGCTCATCATATTAATATGGCTTTACTTTATATACCTTGTTTTTATACTTTTCTGCTGGATGGTTAAGACTAAGATAAAGCAAGACCTATATAACAAGAAATGTAACTTTTGTATCTGATAAGGTCAGTCAAGTACTCTCAGGATTTATCCTGAAGCCCTGTACCACACTTTGTAGATCCTTTGTCAGTGTCAGCCATGAGGATGAGTCACGGCCATTGCTTGACCAATTTGCTCTCTGTGAAAGCCTAAGAAAATTTTTTTCTCTCCTCCATGTGACTCTCCCCAGGCACACTCTACATTATCGATCACATTCCTAGGTGGCTCCATAATCTTCTTGATCAGAAAATTTGGAGCACAACTGAGTTACATGTTGTTACAGTACAGGTTCTCCTATGTCCCGAGTCGTCACTGACTTTGAAAGGCTAGGGCCAAAATGTTGGTTAACCTTGCAGCTCTTCCTTTTCTCCAGTTTTGAACTGCTAACTTAGGTTGTTAGCCCTCCAGAAGAGGAGCTAATTATTAACCTGCAATATATGCAGTTTGGTTTACCCAATCTGTCTAAATATCAAACATTTTGCCATATCATGGAACAGGTATTTTCCATCACATATTGATATGTTGAACTTTAAGTTCTTACAGAATATGAAGTAAAAATTATTTTATAAAAGTAGAAATAAGCATTAACATATTTTTACAAAGAAATTTAGAAATCTAACCATATACAGAATTGTAACAGGACAGACCTGTGACATTTTTTTTCTTATTCTTGTCTTTTTTTTTCAATTTATTACCCCCCCCCAAAAAAAAGCCTTTACTTGAGAGACATTATGGCATGTCATGACAAGAAGTACATATTTAGAAGACCAGGATGACAAGTACTCCAAGTGTGACCCCTCCATTACACATCGCCATCCTCAGTGCAGCCGCCTGGCTCACAGGCACCAGCATATACAGTTAGCTGCTTAGTAATTCTTAAGAGTGATAAATCAGTACTGTTCTCCAGTGAGGGAGTGGCTTGGTTTTATCCCTGCTAGTCAGCTAGTGTGCAGTGTCAGAATTGCAGCAAGCTCAAAGGACAAGTTCAGTGTGAGGGTTAATTTTCCAGGTCCTGCTGAGACTCGGGTTATAATTGCTTTTTGGTATCTGTATGAATTAGGCTGACTTGTCTCAGAAGACTTTCTAAGAGAAACCAACATGTATTTTACTTTTTCTCAGTTTCATATCAGTTTATCATGTTTGTCTCATGTCACTCCCCATATGAAACCAGTAATTCAGCTGCCATAACAGAAATCAGAACCCTTTGGTCTTGCTGGAATGCTACTGCATACTGCAGGGCTTCCACAAGGTTAATTTATGATACCTAATTAGGCTGGCCTTATATGAAAGGGATGTTCTGTTAAACCTTATGTGAAAGGAATCTTCTGTTATAACTTTGTTCCTGTGACCTACTGTAATTATGTGTGATTTCTTATGTGCATTTATGTGGCAGGTAATACACACAGTATAAATTGGTTTCTTATCTTCTGTAGGCACTTATAAATTTCAAAGGCTAACAATCATGCTGTATCAATAATGTATTATAGAATTCTCTCATTTAATATCTGGACTGTAAGAAATAGGTGAAGAAGTGGAAGGGAAATTATTTTCTACCAGATTACCATTGATCTGAGCACATTATATTTCTCTAGGCCTCTATTTAATTGAGAATTTTGTCTACCTATGAAAACACACAAATCATAATCGTTATGGTATACATGCGAGGAGACTTAGCCTGTATTTGTTTCATTGCCTTTGGAATCATTGATGTCTTCGTTTCACGGACATGTCACTTTCCAGTGACCTTGAAGATCAGGGATAAGTGGACAGTGGCAGAGAACTGTGAGGAACTTAGTGCCTTGCTGTGGGGTCCAGCCTTGTCCTCCAAGCAGAAAAGCCACTCTTAGGAGTTAGGATTTTGAAGAGGAGGCCACACACCTTGCAGGGATCCTGGTTGGTGGCTTTGGCTGCTGCCTCCCTCTGAGACTGCTGAGAGCACCTTAGCTTCACAGTGTGCTTATCTGTAAAAATTAAACTTGGTATTTCCTTTGAAAACTCTTGTTCAGAGGGATGACATGATGGGATGTAACCCTGAACCTCAAGCCATGCTCTACCTCCAAGACAGCATTCAGTGGAAAGAGCATGGGCAGTGACAAGGTAGACCTACTGTTTGCTCATGGGATTTTAAGCAAATCCCTTGACCCTTGTGACCTGTTATGTCTTCATCTGTAAGTCAAAAATAGTAATATCCCACCTTTCTTCTGGGCAGAAAAGCAAATGAGATGGTAGATATGCGCATTGGCTTAGTGGAACTGTTCCTTCTGACTTCTTAATCATGTCTCATGTGTGTAATGTATTATCATATTTCTAGTGACTTCTGAGAGTTTTCTATCACAGTAGCCTATGAATCTGCTGGAGGGGGGTTTCAGAGATGACTGAATCCAACGCTGCCCTTTTCTGATGAAATGGAGGTCCAGAGAGTTGTGTCTGGTCCAGAGACACTGAGATAGAGGTGAAGTCATACACTGTCATTTTTTTAATAGGACAGTAAGAGAATGAATATTGGAAAAGCGAAGTAGGAAAATAAAATATTAATAGTTTGGTACCCATGGAGAAGGACATTGCAAAGACCTTTCTCTTGTTTCTGGTGATGTTTTGTGGGATTGTTGTCTTATATGTATGACTTTTGGATTGCCCAAAGCAGCCATGACAGTTAAGCCTCACATCTCTGCTTCTTTCTGATTGGGATAGCTGGACCTTACCTAGCTTTTGGGGATGTCTCATCATAGAATTGTGAAAGGATTGACAAATTGGTATAATTTAGAATGTGACCTTTTGATAAACATTGACAAGGAACCAGAGTTGTCTTAGAGGAAAAGCCCTGGAGTGTGATTTTACTTTTCCCTGGCATCACGAACCCTGGGCATGCTCCTTAGATGCTTAGGAGCTGCTGATCTCATGGCTGACACCCCTGCATACCACTCCCTAGGACCTGAGTTCTGGAACATGAGAAGCAGATGACCCTGGGCTGGGTATGTGACTCAGCAGTATAGCACGTATTCAGCATGTGCAGTGGCCTGGGTTCAATCCCCAGCACCAAAACAAAGAAACAACCAAAAGAGCAGATGGCCATGGAAAGTTGGATTTAGCAAAGCATATGGCAGAATTTAAAAAATAAAAACAACCTCTACAGCATGATTATCTTTCTGGATAACCACTGTAAAATCTGTCACCTTCATAACACAATCCATGAAGTTTCCCACAGTCACAAGTGTTTCCACAAAAAATGTATGTGAAGCCAGAGTGGTGAAAGGCTAACATCAGTCATAGAGCTCCCCCTGTTTTTCAAAGGAACTCTAAAACCTCTAGCTGTTTTGTGGGAGGAAGGGATGAGGAGGACAATATTTATAAGCCATTCTGGGAGGTTTGCACCTTCCACTTGCAGCTGAAAAGACCTTAGGTAGGCCTCCCATGATAGCTCCCTGATTAAGATTCTTTGAACAACATACAAATCTCTTGTTTTGCTGTGGAACACGCTGACTAATAAGTGGCCACAGGGCAACTGTACAGGCCTACTGGGGTGGGCACTCTGGGCGACCCTGACTCTGTGCTCTGCCCTGCCCTCTGCAGTGCGTGCCTCCTGACGAAGCCTGTACCTCGCTGGATGCTGCCATGATCTGGGCCATGATGCAGAACAAGAAGACATTCATCAAGCCACTGGCTGTGATCTACCAGGCACAACCTAAAGGTACCATTTGGGAGGTTGAGTGAGGGAATGGCGGTCTCGGAGCTCTTCTGGGGAAGGTCCAGTATCATAAATAAAAAGTCCAGTTTTATTCAAAAGACCTGTTACAAGAGGATTCTTTGTTCAAGGAGTCTTTTCTTCAGCTAGTTTTCCTATTGCCATTGTGATAGAGTTGTGATACCTTTGCAAATTATTTCTTTACAATATTAGACCAGGGCCAAGGTTGTCATAGTGCTGCTCTCTCTTACGTTTACATATACTTCTAACAGTGTGCAAGAAGTGATTAAAGCTGGGCTGGGAGATAGCTCAGTGGTCTAAGTACCTGCCTGGCAAGCGCAAAGACTCAGGTTCGATCCCTGGTACCACATGTTATGCTGGCTCTGGAACCCTGGGCTCACTGTGCTGGCTACCAAAACAGGGCATGGTGGTGCATGCCTGTAATCCCAGCCCTGGGGAGGCTGACACAGGATTATTACTACGTGTCCAAGCTGTGTGGTGAGACCCCGTACCAAGTAAATAAATGAAAGATTAAAAAAAAATTGAAATTATTAAAGCTGTCCCTGGTGTACTGATACTGGTACATAGTCCACAGCCTCTATTAGCTCTCCGACCACTGCTCATAGTAGTGCGGGCTATGATGCCTTTGAGAGGCTATAATGGGACTATGTCCAGCTGAGGTGTTCCAGGAAGAACATGATTGAGAACCACTGCCGAGATGCATTCAATACAGTTTTTAGAATTGTGCACAGTTGTGTTTGTTACTTGAAGCCAAGGGGCCTCTTCCTACATGTGCAGGAATGTTTGGATATTCTAGGACAAAAGGAAGGAGGTTCCCTGAGAAGTGTGGTACTAGGATCTGGGAGGACAGGCAGGGCATAGGCTGGGCCAGCTGGCATCTGGGCAGTTGTAGTGTCCCTGTCTAGAAACAACCTGCACTCTGCAGAAGCATTGCTATCTATGGGTGTTAAGTGGAGAGAAGACTGGGAGCTAACAGTGGACTTTATGCTGCCGGGGTGAGCTACTCCAGGGCTGGGAGCTGCAGGCCGCCTCCCCTAGCACTGAGGGCAGAGAGGAGCCAATGGACAGTCTGCTTCCAGCTGCTGAGCATTATTAGCAGGGAAACCTGCTGCCGGCTGCTACCACCAGATCTAGGATGCACTTGTGGTCTAAGCATCATGGGTTGGGGTGTGGCAAGCCCCGACAGTGACCATGGCTCTGCAGCAGAGAGACCTGCCAGTGTGTGTAGCATTGTGTGGGTCCTGCTGGTTTCTTTTTGAGCCAAGTGAGCTTTGTAAGGAGAGCTGTTTTGTTCCAGTTGTCGTACCTGGATCTAGAAGCTTCTCTCCTCCTAGGGGCAAGTTCACCGTAAGAGGCAGGTGAATGTATGCAGGGCAGGACATTGGCTCTGGGTCCAGAGCTACGCTCTGCTTTTAACCTTTCCACTGACTATGAGACCCCAATGCAGTCATTTGCCTCTTTGGGTTTCATTTACATCACCCAGAAAGGAGGAGTTCGGCTCAGATGACTTCTAGAAACTGCAGCACTCAGCTGTGCCATGGGAAGGAGCAAAATTCATTTGCTTCCCAGCCTTCCTGAAGCTGTTCTGAGAGGACATGTTGGATGTTTAGTTGTTCCTCAGCAATGGCTTTTGTTGTTGTTTTACTTTTATTGCTTGGTTTTTAACTATTTGAAAGTTGTAACAGAGAATTGTTCTTTAAGTGGATTGCCGAAACACTAGTTTCTTTTTAGGGGTTCAGGAGAAAAAAAATAAGAAGAGATGACTTGTGTTGCAAAGAATTCGCAATTGGGCCATGTCTGGCTCCACTTTATACCATGGAAGTAGCTTGACAATAGCGGCAGCCACCTTGTCCCTGTCTGTTACTCTTACCTCTGTTAAGCGAGGTAATTCCGCATAATTGAAGGATGCAGCTTGCTTTTTCGTGTGCCAGACAGTAATTACCCATTAATACTGCAGGAGTATAACTTCCAGCAATTCATTCATCCCTTTAATTCTGGAGGTTTTTTTTTTTTTTTTTAAAGTAATTTCTCTTGCAAATTAGGTAATTACTTTTATTCAAGCTTTGTGCAATTATACTAAAAGTTCAGCGTTTTCTTTACATAAAAGTTTAAAAGGAAAGTTTTACCAAGTAGCAAAGCAATTTCATGAGATTTTGCTGAGGCTAGATTTTAGTGAAGAAGTGTGTAGGTGATGAAAGTTTACGGCTTAGGTTTGTTAAACAAATTGAGAAAGTTAAACTTTTAGGCTAGCTTCCCAGGGCAGTATGCAAATTCACTGTCTAACTTAGCACTAAATGAATAGGTTTTCTGGCAGTTTTCAACTGTGTAAGGACTCTTCTCACCTTCTATATTTATTTTCTAAAATCATTTCTTGTCAGTGCAGAACATTGGAGTCTGCACTTTCTCTTCACAGGGAACTGGAATAGTCATTTGAAAAGGGAAGGTAACCATTTACCTAATAACACTGGCTTATTTGAATAATAAATGGGTCATGAAATTCTCTCAGGGAGTAGGCAGATCACATATTAAGATTAGGTTTGGAGGTAAAATTTTCGTGTTCCCTGGGAGATGCTTCACTAGCCCTATACTATGTTGGTACCCTTAAAGGCCATGAAAACCTCCAGTGCTCCCTGCCCACTGGGGCCATCTTATTTTTAAGCTGGTTGGTTGTCTAGGATAGCAGATAAAGGAAGAGAAAGTGACCACCACTGCCAGTAACAACATGGACATCATTCAGGTGGTGTTTTCTTCCCCCAGGGGTCAGGGAGAGTAGGTCCTTAGGAATACAGAAATCATTGTGAGTCCCTGTTTGCCACCTTTGACCTCAAGTCCTTTGGGAGCCAGTGTTCTTTTCCTACTTAAATGTTCAGCAGTAAACCACCCAAGTACTGTGAGTGCAAGGAAGGAAGAATTGAAAGGAAGATGATTTTTTTTTTTCGAAGCTGTTCTTCTAGTGGGTGAAGATGTTAGGAAATATGTAAACTTTAAAAGTGTAAGAAAAGTGTGTTAAAGTTCAGAAGAAGTTCTGTGACTATTGGATTATAACTCACAGAAAACATCAAAAACATGCATAGTTTATGCATTCTATGGTTTATGGCGAAACAATTAAAATACTTGAGGTGGTGCCATCCTACCATATTTTGTGAAATTTTTTGAAGCACAGTCATGCTGGTACTGTTTGCTTTGGAAGCTGTGACCACTCTTTACAGCATTTGAAAACGGTTGGGCTTACACAAATAAAGATGGTTATAGTATGTCAGTGATGAATGTAAAAGATGGTAGGAGGGAGGATAATCTTTGCCCTGAAACAGGGTGCACACATACACAGAAGTGTGGACATAAAAGAGCAATAAATGTCTTCTCTAGTTTGCTTTGATTCATGGGCAGTACTTGATTCTTAGCAAGTTAAATGTTTGAAATACTGAGTTTTCTCCAAATTTCCACCACATAACTGTGAAAAATAGAAGCACCTGCATATCGTCCACACTCAGGGAATGTTAATTTCCTTTCTTTTCAGCCAGACTAGCAGGGTTTTGGGAGGGGGTTGAGGTAAAGGAAAAGCTGTGAGTGTCAAATGGAAATTAATCCAAGAGAGGCATTACTTTTTGGAACACATATTTGAGTTTTCCAGAACAAAATACTCTGAAGGACCAGCCAGCTTTTGTCCTTTAGGTAGAGATGAAGGGAAACAGTGGAAAGATAGTAGAAATGTTTCAATGACAGAACAGCACATGCAGTGTCTGTCCAGTTGGGAGGGCATTAGAGTGATTTTTATTCTTTTATATACTTCATAGTTGAGAAACTTTATTTTAGAAAGTTTCAAAAATATGCAGAGATAGAATGAAACATTGTGAGCCCACCTTCTGGATTTACCAGCTATCCTTTATGGTAAATCTTACTTTATCACTTTCTATTATCCATTGACTAATTTGGAAGGAAACCAGACAGTTAATTTCATTTGTAAATGTGTCAGTATGCATTTCTGAAGGTTAAGAACCATCAAAAGAGCTCAATCAGGGAGCCAATGAGTAGATGACTTAAGAAGATGATTCTGAAGGCAGTGTGAAGATTGAGTTGCTGGAACAAGTGCGCAGCAATGGGTATAGAGACTGTTTATGATTGTTTAGTCCACAGCAATGTTTACTGAGCCCCCCTTATGTTAGGAATATAGTCTATAGATTATCCTATTTTTAAGGCCTTTCTAACCCAGAAGAATGTTTCTCAACCACTGTGGCATCAGCATTTGGTAACTCTATTGTGGGGGGAGTTTCCTATAACATTCCTATAGAATGTTGACAGCTCCCACGAGATGTCAATCACAGCTCCTCTGGTTGTGGCAGCCCATTATGTTTCTAGACATTTCTGCATTTCCTAAGTTACTCCCAGGTGAGAACCACTGTCTAGTGGCAGGATACAGACAAATAGGCCCTTGCAATGCATGCCATTAATATTGAAAGAACCCAGGGAAAGAGTTCAGAAACAGTGACTTTAGATTAGTAAAAATATGCCTTAAATGGGGCCTGCACAAAGCCTCCTGAGTCTTTAGGAGAGGTTCCCTCCCCCTCCTGCCCTCTTTGCCCAGTGTCAATAGATGTGGTACCAGTTTGACACCTTGTTTCCCTGTAGGCTTGCTCAGGCCTATGGTGTTTAGAACTGAACCAAAACTGTAGGCCAAAAGCTGTGGTCAGTTACTCATGCATAACCCCAAGAATATAGCATTTATGAAAACCATGCCTAACAATCTGAGGAAGGAAATTTTGGTTGTAGAGGTAGACCAAAATTTGCTCAGAGTGTATGAAAAGATTTAATTCAGAATGTTGATTATAGCTTATTCTTTCGGCAAGGAAATCTATTAAAATTCTCTTTGCAGTAACATCTAGGATCCCTTCCTTCCAATCTTATCCTTAAACCCAAAGCAAATATTGTTATGCTCACTCCTCTCCTTTCAGCATGCCAACTCAATTATAGGGTTCTGATGGAGATGAAACCATTTTAGTTAGACTCGGGGGTTAGGGGATTTGGACACTGAAAATTTAGAGGGTAAAATCCTTTCACTTCAGCTTTGCAGCCTGTGCTTGTTACTGTTTATGCACAGTCATGAAGAAACTTTACCAGGGAGAAACAACTGTTTCTGTTTAGCTCTGAGAGGGCCCCTATTTGGGGTGGGGAGAGATTAGATCATAAGTCCATTAAGAATCTTAAAACAGTGCCATCCATCACACAGGCCTGGCTATAAAACCTAAATTCTTACATGTGAAATCTCTTTAGGGAAGAATCATCATTTTTAAACCACTTGGGGATTCTGAGTGACAAAGTTGAACCACAGGCGGTCGATTACATGGAACTCTTCCCAGAAGTGCGTATACTTCTCGCATGATGCACACTGCTGAGACCTTTAGATGCCTTTGGACTTAGTTCAGTGAATCAAACTACTATTTCATGAAATTTTGTGGTTAGATACCCCTACTTCATAGGGCTTGGAGAGTTTAAAATGAGAATATTAAGTGAAGGCTTTTTGTCAATTGGTAAAACACTATATAAATGTAAAAGTGTAAGGTGTCTCCATTGTTATTGTCACCAGCGAGGCTGATGGGACCACACTCCCAGGAGAGTTTTATTTTGTGGTTACCATAGGGGGTATGTGTTCTACAAACAATCCTCTCTCCTTTCACCCTGTTGACCTTCTTTATTTTTTATAAACATCAACATATCCTGCTTTTGGTCAAATTTCTACAAGTTCTTTTTGCTTCACCATAGATTTAAACAGAAGGTGTGTGTTCCTTCTTTAGTGACTGAAAGTGGAGATGAAAGAGAGAGGCTTTAGACACATACTGCTTTTAAACTCTTAAAAAGAAGGGCACTATTTCTAGAAAGGGCCAGAGAGAGAATATTTTTCATTTGTGGCCCAGACGCTTCCTCTCTAAACTGCTCGGTTTTGTTGTTGTAGAAAGAAAGTAGCCATAGACAATGTGTTCAGTGTGGCTGTAACCACATTGAACTTCATTTTGGATTGAATTTGAATTTCATAAAACTTTCACGTATTTGTCAAGAAATAGTTTTCTCGGGCCAGATGTGGTGGTACATGCCTGTAATCCCAGCTCTCAGGAGGCTGAGGCAGGAGGATTGCCAGGAGTTGGGGCCAGGCTGGGCTACACAATGAGTTTAAGGCCAGCCTGAATCATAGAGCGAGATCTGGTCTTCAAAAACAGTCATCTTCTTTTGATTTTTAAGAATATAAAATTTTCAGAATATAAAATCCCCTCTTAGCTCTTGGCCACAAGGTGCTGAGCCCTGGCCTGCCGCCGCCTTCACTGCTGGGGATAGCCAGTGCTGTGTGTGAGCAGCACTCTAGTGCTCCCGGCTAAGGACAGAGTAACACTCAGCTCTTGCCCTCTGCCCCAAGGCAGAAATGGTTCAATCCCTGCCCTGATGTTTTCCAGCTGTGACCTTGGGTTAGTCACAGGATATCAGAGTCTTGGGCTGCTCGTTTTAAAAATAGTGATAAAAATTCTTTCTCTGCCTCCCTCACAACGCTGAGGCAAACTCCAAGTGAAATCTTGGCTGGGTAGCACTTTAGGACCATGAAGCATTCTAGAAATACTGAGATGTTCAAGTATTTTAATGGCCTTGTTTCCTCCTTTTTCAAAAAGTACATCAACATTTTAATTGCCCTTCACCAAACTTTTCTGGAAGGGCTGTTCTGTGCCAGCCTGGGCCCTGAGGCTACACGGCTGAGTAAGAAGTAGACCTTGCCCAACAAACCCAGCCCATTAGGTTGTGCTGTGACCCAAATGTAACAGAAGAGGGGTGAAATGAAAGGGGTGGGAGAGACCAGCCCTGCTGGGGGTGGCTGGAGCTGGAGGGGGTGGGGGGACAAGGAGGGACTCCCAGCAAACATTGCCAACAAAACAGGTGGAGGGAAAGAAGGCATGGTGATGTGGAGCATCATGGGTAACTTGGGGAACATAAATAAATTTTGAGCAGCCCAGTATGGGTAAGGGACCCCTCAGGATAGCCGAATCGGGACTCCTTTGTATCTGATGCTGAACAGTTTGGATTGTCCATCCCTAAACAAAGAAGAGTCATTTAGGGGCTTAATTGGAGCAATACTTGATCAGCTCTGGACTCCAGACAATTCATTCTGGGGGCAGATATGGAGTACAAAATATTTGGGGGGACTGTAGTAGTGGAGATGGGGAGACCTCTGTGGTAATGCAGATGAGTGATGAAAAGGAGCCGAGCTATAGCACAGTAGCACTCAAAGGACAGAAGAATGAAGATACAAAATCTGTAAGTTTTGGGTTTTTTTGTTTGTTTGTTTTTTTTAATAAGCAGAATATATTTATTGAGGGAAAGAAATCTCCTGTCCGAGAGAAGGACAGGAGGAGGAGGGCCTGAGCGGGTTGTTCCCCCCAGGAAAAAAAATCTATAAGTTCTTAACAGAATATTTTAAAAGTAGAATAATATTGTGAATACAGAAGAGAGGCATGACATTAAAGGTATTAGATCCATTTGTAAATAAATATAAAGGTGCACACATACACAGACTCAAATTCCCTAAGTTTAGGTGCTTGGCCTCACATGTTCGTCAAGTCGGAAAGCCTCTAGAATCAATCATTAGCAGAGTGCAGTGCCTAAAATTTCTGCGTCACCTGCTTTGCAGTTTTGAATTCCAAAGCCGATATTGACTGTGCCTTCACAAACTTATTAACAAGTAAACTGCTGTGTATTTATAAAATACAAAACGTTGACTTCCCTTGAGATTTTAATGACCTTTTGCTTAAAGCTTGGTTTCTTCGTGGAATGCATTATGACTTATGCTTTTGTTTCAGAAAAAGCTCCGAGCCTTAAAGAAGCAAATCCAGTTCCCCCACGTAAGTCTTTGTGCAACTCTTTCAAAATAAAGCCTCCTGGGCTTTGATAGGACTTAGCTGGCCAGGGAACATTTGCCAGATGCTTTGATAAGGAGACTTCTGCTCTCATTCTCTTTTACTCCTTCCGTTTCTTTTTTTTTTTTTTTTCTTTTGTCCTTTCTTCTGTCCTTCCTTCATCCTCTTCTTTCTTTTTACCTCTCCGTATTTGACCTTTCAAAAATATTAATTTGGTAACACGTTGGACATGTGGCATGAATGGGAGCATGCTAAACTTACTTTTAGAGAGCTAAGTTTGTTATTCTCGTGCTTATATATCTGTTATGATCCAAAAACATTAACATACATTTGTGACTTACTAAGTGGCGGGAACAGAATTCACCTGCTCAGTAAAGAAGTGCTAAGGGGTCCAGGTGCAGTGTGTTCCAGACCATTTCTAGTCCAAGGAGTATACTGATTTTAGGTTTGTTTTTTTTTCCAGACAGATTGCAGTAATAATAATAATAGTAATAATAATAATATAAAGCACAATATCAATTACTGCAGAATGACTTGAAAATTCTATAGATCCATTTCATCATTTTGTACAGAATTATTAAGAAATATTTTAGTGACTTGGCCCAGGTTATCATTAGCATGAGGCAGTATTCCACCCTGGCTTCCTGGCTTTCTACCCAGAGTTCTGCTCAAATTTGACCTTCTTGGGAAAATCTGTGCTTTTTCTTTTCCTTCTCAGAGATTCCCAAGATAGGCCTCCAAGGATGATCCCATAACATACGTGTAATAATCAGCGTAGAGAGTGCCCTTATACCAAGCTGCTTATATACCATTCCCCCAAGTGGATTATTTTAATAAGAACAGTGTCATGATCTCAGACAGACCCATGTGGATACACATTTTCCCATACTTACTCTGAGTTTTGTAAGTGACATTTCCATCTTTGGAATTTTAAAATATTTTCACTGAAGTTATAATCATGTTCTGTCTTTGCATCTGTAAGCATTGAAAGTCAAGTTGCCTTTTAATATCTGTCTTAGGAATTGGGTTAAGTGGGTTGATGACTTGGCTGACAGTGGGAGTGTGGGCCATTCCTTTCTCCACTGTGCCCTCAGTCTCTACCCAGTACTTATCCCTCCAGGGATCCTCATCTGTTTTATGATCTTATTTTGTATACCTTGTGCCTCCAGTAGGTAAAATGATCCTTTTCACAATTTAAATGAATGCAAAAAAGCACATGGGAGTAGAAGAGTGATGACCACAAGTGGGAGTGTGGACCATTCCTTTCTCCACTGTGCCATACCTTCCCCAAGTCTTTTGGAGGCTCCAGGGTCACTTTTGTCTACAACTGAACCTTTTAGATTGATGTGAACTGAAAAGCAAAAAAGATTTAATTTGTAGAGTGGAAAGTACAGCAATATTTCAGGAGTGGGAAGATCTTATACCTTCATTCTGTATTTAAAGGAAAAACAAACTTAAAATTCTTATTCCACAAAACTGTTATCTTCCTCAGCAGCTGATTTAAGCTTTTTATAAGTGACTCAAAGGCAGTTCTCTTAAACAAAAGGAAATACCATATTTCTGTGGTCTGGAATTAATTTCACATATAAAAATTTTTGCCAAATGGACAAACATTTGATTCTGTTTGTATGTTTTGCTGACCATGAAGTTGATGTCACTGTCCACTGAGAAGTAATTTCTGTTCTCCTCATAGATCACATTTGGAAAGTGTTAAAAAGCTTTTGCTACATAATTGTTAAGATTGAGGGTTTAATCAGTAAAATGTTATAATGCATGGGAATAGTTTATTTTTACTCTGTTTTCTTCTCATCTACTTTTATCTATCATACGTTCAAATGTTAAGAAAATAGAGTATATATATTGCATATTTCTGTGTCATATGTTTCATTATTGGAAGTGCTCAGCGAAAAAGAAGTAATCAATCAAATTTTGACAATAAAAGTTCATTTCGTTTTCCAGAATATCTTAACCTGTATATTTTCAGGCTACCCTCCATTCAAATAGTAGGTCCTCAGATTGGGACACTGAGACCACAGGTTTTTTAAATTAGTTTGTTGTTCAAAATAAGTTGCAATTTGGGAATATTTGGAAAACTGATCAGTTTTTCTTTGACCAAAAATTTGCAAGTAACAAAATGCAGTGTATTTTATTGGGGCTCTTATGACCATCTCAGATTTTATTAGCCAGGGCTAAACTTTTCTGACAGTGCCTGTAAAAATAAATATAAAATTGCTAGGTATGATGCATACTAACAGAGTCTGTGTGTTGGTTTCCCTCTTTTATAGAAGTTTTCCATGGTCTGGACACCCTGACTGTGATGGGCATTGCGTTTGCAGCATTTGTGATTGGAGCCCTGTTGACGGGAGCCTTGTGGTACATCTACTCCCATACAGGTTAGTGTGACTGCTCACTGTCACTTGGTGTGTGTCCCATGTGCTGGCCACACCACAGACACTTGGCGTGTTGCTGCATGAATGAGTGAAATGAAGGAGTGAAAGAAAGTCCCTTCCTACTGTTTTCACATGTATATGTTTGGCGTAAGTTACATTTTGTAGAAGTGCAATTTGCTTCAAGCAGTGGTAGAAAAGTAATAAAGCAAACATTGCAGTCGTGGTGTTGGTGACATTTAGCTTCTAATGATGTTATTTTGTCATTAAAGTCTATAAAGAAAGTCAGTGTAGATCAACTGGGAATACAAGCCATTCACCCAAAGCTAGACTTCGGAATAGATTCATAAATGTGCAGAAGTGAAAAAGGAAGCCCAGCATATGTGTATGTTACCAGGCCTGCAGTGTTGACCATTGTCCATCTAAGTCCCTAGTTGGTGACTGAAACCAGAACTTCTCAACCTTTCCTTAAGTCTAAAGATCTCATCGCTTTCTATAAAGCCATTTAATTTTTCAAAATATATTTTCATGGATTGAAGAAAAATAAAACTGTTATAATAAAGCATTTTGCTTTTTAAGCTATTGGAAAGTCCCCAGGGTTGAAGCACATGGGCAGAAGTGACAGCCTGTTCTGATGCAGTATAGAATGCAGGCCCTTATCAGTGAGAGGTATGGGGCAGGGCTAGCCTGTGTTTATAACTTCATTTGATTTTTCATTGAGTCAACAAATGCTGTGATTTTTTTGCTTCCTCCTGGGCCATTCAAGTAATCCAGCTGAAAGAATAAGCAGTTCAAGACAAGGGATCCACCAAAGGGCACCTTGGGGCATGATATCTTAGTTCTCTTGATTTCTAGACAGAGCTCAAATTGTTGAGGAAAAAAAAAAAAGACACAGGATCGTGTGTTAGCGAATAATCTGAGGCTCTTTTTCATGATTTTATTTATTTATTTATTTATTTTACTTCTAAAGTATCTGTGATACAAAGAGAGGAGCAAACTCTTGTGTCTGGCATAGGGAATTCATCCAATACACAGTCGATGTCTTGGCAAATGTTTAGCAGAGTTTAATAGTGGTGCTTTGAATCCTCAAATTGTTGTTCCTATTAGGCAACCTTTGAATGAAATATGTTTCATGTGAAAGAGAAAATAAGACTCATAAGTGTAATGCTTCTCAGTATTCTATTAGCATCTGTGAATCAGTTTAGGAGTATGCTTCCTCATGAGCAGTTTATAGAAGAACCAGAAGGGATAGCTTTTAGCAGAGTAGAGTTTATAATGTAATTTTTAATCACAGAAATAGTGACGTGTTCAGATCTCAAGCTAACAGCTCTTCAGAACTTTTTCCAACCCCCTGTGTGGCTGAGAAGTCCCACAGCCTGTGGCAAACTCCGTTGTCTGTTGAGAATAAACTTGAATGTACTCTAAGAAGACCGAGTAGCCCTAAGGATTTTATATGGGGGCCGTCACCCACAGAAGCCTGCTGTGTGTCTGTCCACCATTGACTGGCCTTAGTTACAGCTGATCTTGGGCCAGGAAGCCAGGTCTGGGCAGAACACGGAGCAGCCAAGTGGCACCCCCTCAGGAGCATACCCCACTGAGCCCCCGCCCCTTGCTTGGTCCTGGGCTCTCTTCCACAGCCAAGCGCACAGATCTAATGAAAGGCTAAGCTTGGTTTGCAGCATGTGTTGCGGCTCCTGGAGCTTGGAGAGTTGTTATTGACCTCTTCTCCTCCACCTGGGGGCTTAAGAAGAATTTCAATATTGTTAATACAGAAATAGGTTTGTAAATAGATTAAAGAAAATCCAAGACACATCCAGTGATGCTTTTTACCAAAATATGCCAGTTCAGAAAGTAAAAGGTTTATATAACTATCACTTGGGTTTAAAACTTGTTGGTATCACTTATAATACAGCTTCAATTTTTTTTTTTTTTTATTCAAAGCTATAGGCTCTGGATCATTTTACAGACTGCTCATCCAGAGTACCAGGGTCATGCAGGCATGAAAAAGGTTCATTTCAGAACCGCGTGATAGTTTCTCTTCAGAACCCGTTGGTTTCTTGCCTGGTTCAGGTGGAAGCAAGTTTGGACGAACAGGGAAGGTCATGAGGCTCTGGCCGAGATGGAGTGATAAGAACGCAAGACAGACTCAGTTCATTTGCTTTCCGTGGTGGGCTGAGTTGTAGGACTCAGATGTCGTCTGGCATACGTGGGAGCCAGGCTGGCACAGCTGCCTGTCCCGAGCAGGCTCGTGTGCATGGCTTTCCCTTTGGTCATGCTTCCCACTCGGTCCGCAGCACACAGCACAGCACCTGATTATATACTCAGATTCATCCACTTCCATACCTGGAATTTATGTTGGTCTAAAAAGGTGGGGACCCAGCTTTATAATATAACCCCTAGGTGGATAAGACACACCTCTGTAAGGCAGTATCAATGCTGTCTGGAAAATTTCTTTCCTAAAACTTATGACTCTCCCAAGATGGTAAAGAGAGAAAAGGTGATTGGAAGTAGGAAGTTGCTGGCCCAGAGTCATAGAAGCTTTATGGTCTGGGGAGCCTTGCAACTTTTGGGGTGCCTAACCCCTAGTTCACGAAAGTCCCTGAAGTCTAGCGCAAAATTGTATCTGTTGTTTTGTTGCGGACACAAGCTCTTTTTTTTTTTAGAAAACCTTTTCAGTTTCATCAAGAGAGTGTATACACATAGTTCAGAGGCTAAAATAGTCCTATAAGACTTGTGACAAGAGGTCAGGCCCTGCTTGCCTGCCTCCCCTCTCTCCCTTCCTAGAGCACCATCCTTTTACTCTTAGCTATTTCTTTTGGCCATTAATCCATTTCTCTACATAGTATGATATATTGCTGCATTTTGATTTTCAGTTTGGGACCTTTTCCGTCAGCCTTTTCCAATGGAAAATGAGGGTTTACCTCTCTTTTGCCCCACGGCTAATCATGTGTTCATTCCTCTTTTGCTCCCCTTTCCACATTGTCCTAGTAGAATTATACTGAAATCTTGGCTGAGATTCATATTGACTGTTTAATTATATTATTAGGACAACCTAAAGGCTAATTGCAATTTAGCCAGGTAAGATAACCGTTCTTATACAGGTCTTTTAATTTTCCACAGGATTTGTAGTCTTTCCCTGCCCTCCTACCTCCTGGTTAGATTTTTTTCTGTATTTGTGCTTAATTTGTTTTCTGATTCTGCCAGGTATCTTAATTTCTCCTTAATATGTTCAGATGTGTCAGGCATTGATTCCTTTTCTTTAGTAACTCCTTCCTGGAGGCTTTCCTAACCTGCTCCTCTCTGAACTAGTGCCTCTAAGTCTGGACACGCTTGTCCTCTGTCTTCTCTTCCATCATTATTCTAGAGGATCTCTTCACCTTAGAGTTGTAGGTGTCCATATCCTCTATCCTCTATCCCGTGCCTTCCTCCTTCTTGGTTTAAAACTTAGAAAGTAAGCATTTTTTACATCTGGCACGTCTGAAAATACTCTCATGTTACAGAAATACTTTGCAGATAGTCTTTCAAGCTGTAGAATGCCTGATTATAAATAATTTTGCTTATGAATTTTGAAAGCAGTCCTCATTGTCTTCTAGCTCAAGGCCGGCCCCCTTTATGTGTGTCCTGCTTGCTTCTTTCTGGAAGACATTTTATGTACATAAGCTCCCTTCACTTACGGGTGCTTTCATTTATTATGCTGGGCTTCAGCTGGACCCTTTAAATCTAGAAACTTATGTACTTTAGCACTGAGATATTTTAGAACTCATTCTTTTTCTCATCCTCATCTTTCAGTTACCTTTTGAGATTTTAGTATTATTTTGGAAACTTTAAATTCCAAGAACATGTTTTTTCCTAGTGAATTAAATAATATCCTGTTCTTGCCTCTTAGGTATAGTATCTTATCTTAATGTAGGACTGTTTCAGAATCTGGAAGCTCAGGATCTGAGCTTTCAGGTAGGACTTGGAACTTCCCTAGGGTGTCAGGTGGGCCTTGTTATTGATGAGTCCCTAATGTCACTTCCTTGGAACTTTCCTCTTTAGCTTATCCACTTTTCATAAAATAAGCCCTTCTACATCCCACCTGGAAGGTGTAGGTCTGGCTGTTGGGAGACCTTTATATTGGGCACCAATGAAAGTAAACTTACATGGTGACACATTATATTTGGCAAATAGACATCAGAAAGCAAATAGACTTCTCGGGTGGAGCATGGTATTGGCACCTGTACTGAATGTGAATAATCAAGCACATGCCGTGTCCTGGAAGAGACAGATTTGTTCGCTGCCACTAGAGACAAGGCGCTCCTGCCTTGGCTGCTGTCAGGCTGAGCAAATGAAGCCCAATGGAACCAAACACAGTAGATGTTTGCTTGATTCCCCTTTGTGAGTATGGTTCTCTTCCCCTATGAGACTGTGCCTGGTGCTGGTTATTATGGAAATCCTTGGTCTCACCCTCTTCAAAGAATAAACTTTCGTATTCCTCCAGGATGAGGGTCCCAGCGCAGGGCGGTAAGGGAGGAGGTCTTGAGAAACCTTACTGCCTCTTACATAGGCACTTGGCCAGCTCCACTGCTTTCAGCCTTCTACTTCCCCTCTGTCCCAGAGGTTCCTGATGTCACCATTTCCTGCTTTTTGAGGACACTGTCAAGTAAATTGCTTTTCATATCTTCCCACTGTTGCCTTGGGTTTTGACTCTCATGAATCTGTGAAATCACTTGCCATCCATCCATTTCTTCACCAGCTTCTACTATTTTATTATTGTCTTCACTTTTGTCATCTTTGTTTCTGTGGATCTGTGTCTTTCACGAGTCCATTTACTGTCATTCTGGTGAGATTTAGAGAGGGAATATAAGTCATGTGTGCATATAAGCACTGTCTCCACATGTCTTTTTTTCTCCTTTAGGTCATGTTTATGCTTATCATTTAAATTACAATTGTTGGGCTGGGGAGATGGCTCAGTAGAATAAGCGCTTCCCTGGCAAGCTCAAGGGTCTGAGTTCAATCCCCAGTTC